ACGCCTGTTAAGATTAAGAGTTTTTATTAAAACTATTACAGGTTGTTGAGGAGCAACTTGCTGACGAAGATGATGAAGATGTATATACACTAAGTAAAATAGCAGATATTTTACATGCTTTGTTTACTACTCACAAGTCATCGTTCTTCCCATACTTCGATCCAATTTGCGGACATTTTGTAAAATTGTTAAGTCCCGAGAGATCTTGGTCGGATCATCAATGGGCTTTATGTATTTTCGATGACGTGATAGAGTTCGGTGGCCCTGAATGTGCAAAATATCAAGAATACTTTTTGCGACCAATGATACAGTACGTATCAGATAAATCGGCAGAAGTTCGACAGGCAGCAGCTTATGGTTGCGGTGTTTTGGGTCAACATGGAGGAGAAGCATTTGCTCAAGCATGTGCGGAAGCCTTACCTAGGTTAATGGAAGTTATAAATGATCCAGAATCTAGATCGCCAGAAAATGTTAATCCTACTGAAAATGCTATTTCTGCAGTAACAAAAATTCTCAAATATAACAATAAAGCAATTAATGTTGATGAAATACTTCCTCATTGGTAAGTTTTTGGGTTGTTATGCATATTATTAATATTGCGTTAATAACGATTATATTTAGTGAATCCGATTTTTCTTTTTATATTTAGGCTCTCTTGGCTACCAGTTGTAGAAGATGAAGATGAAGCACCTTACGTTTATGGATATCTTTGCGATTTAATCGAAGCGAATCATGTAGCAGTTTTAGGTCCAAATAATTCAAATCTACCTCGGCTAATAAGTTTCTTTGCAGAAGCACTTCACAGAGATGCAGTGCCTACAAATAATCCTGTCATGAACAGAATTCTTAGTATCGTTAGACAAATACAAGTATGTTACATAAATATTTATATAAATCTCCTATAAATTTCTATTGTTTAATAATAATGGAATTTGTTCCAGAACAACGAGTCTATGTTCCAGGCGTGTATAAACGCATTAACAGCAGATCAACAACAAGCATTACACGAGGCACTTAGTGCACAGCCTACTAATTAGTCATTTGTTTTTATCCCCGAATTTTAACGCCTTAATATAAAAACAAAAAAAAACACATTTGCTTTAATAAAGCTTATCGTGAAATCACAGATTTTAGGTAGCTACATTATACCTATGGAACATTGCTCCAGCCTAATAACGAAGAGAGACACTATACTGTATGTAACTATTTAATATAACTTGCATATTTGTTGATTATATTTCACTAATAGGTACAATAGTCGCTCCATTTTTTACTATTCAGATTGTTACAAATTGCATAAAACGATACTTACACTCGTCACTACCCGGTGAAGTGTGATACGTTGCACATAAGTCTAAAAAAATAAAATTATTTAAATTACATGAGTGAGTTCGCATTGACGAAATTTTTAAAAAATATTTTTTTTCGCATCATTCATAAAGGTACAATAATGTGATGTATATATATGGACGTATTCTTAACGTAGCAAAATTAGTACAAGACTACATTTCCCGCCATTGACAGCCGAACGATGCTAAATTTTTTAAAATGTAGCTTTGTAAATTGCGTAGTATTCTAAATATTAATTATAGCTTTGTTCTGCGAACATTAAAACGCTTATACTTTTGTCACTGCGATCTCTAATTCGTCCCGATTATCTACATTCTGAAGCTACTTTTTTGGCAGAATAATAATACTGCGGAAAGTGAAAAATAGACTGGGAAAACACCAACTCATTGCCATCAAATGATGGTAGAACATATTGTGATTTAGGTATTTTTATTATTAAATTTAGGTACAGTAAATGTTATTTAATAATAATGTCGATAATATTACAGTGTTGAAGTTAGATGAAACTGTATACGAATGCCTTTTGAACGAAACGTAATGAATTCAAAAAACTTTTAAGTCTTGGATGATATTGAAATATGCAGTACACTAAATTACCTACTAATTCTAATTCGTCGGAATGTATTAAAAAATGAAACGTATATATTTTCAGTTTGCTATAAATTGTACTTGACTTTATAATTATACAGCTAATTTACATTGATTTACTACGCTTATTTAGCTGTAATTTTGCACTTTCTTTATTATTGTGTCATCTGCAGAAAAATATGATAATGCTGGACATTACGTTTCTTCCGATTATTGTGTAATGACAATGAAAATTGAAAACAAAATGAGTGGAATTACAACTTCCCGCCATTGCTATTTATTTGTACACAATAATTGACACAATGTTTACTGTTGCATAAAAATTTGCAGTGGAAAATAAACCTAATATAAAATTTGCGGTTAGTTGCAACGTAAAATCCTCTTGAAAAACTTTTTTAATACGATATATATATAAGGGAGTAGAAATAATGACCTGACATTTATTTGTACATGTATATATCAAAGTATATAAATATTATACAAGTACATGAATGTAATTATCATTGATCAGTGATAAGCACTTCTCAATAATTGTATGGAGACCAACATAAAAATCATGTGAAAAGAATACAATGTGCGACTGTAGATAATTCATTACGGTCAATGAAGGACTGTTTGTGCGATCTATTGTGGGAAAAAAATGTGGAAACAAACTCAATATGAAAAGAGTAAAGTAACAATTCTTATAATTATATAGAGATTATTTTAAAGTTATTATTAATTAAAATGAGTCTCGACTTTTTAATTCATTGTTTTGCTTTACCTCCAGAAAATATATATATATATATATATATATATTTTCTTCCTCATTAAAGTGGAATATCTATAAATAAAAAAACGTAAGTTAATTCGCAAATCGTAATTGAATTTATATTATGTTTAACTATTCAAATCTACTAAAATTCAAAATAGTGTCTCATGGTAACACATTCGTCCAGCCATTTTTTATAAAATGTCCAACAAATTGATCGTATCGAAATCGTGTCAATGTTTTGGACGTTCTAGACAATAATTTATGAAATCAATAAGTATTATAATTATAATTTTACATATCACAGGGATGATAGGGACGCATATTTGTTTTTAATAAAAAGTACTTCAATTTCGATTTTATTAGTCTATATCTTTTATTTTGTTACAAAATTGTAAATAATGTGCACCCTTTGGTAAGAAACTTAAAAGTAGACACGAAGTGTATATGAAGTTTCGATTAAATGAGTAACTCTGTTGACGAGCAATTTCCTCGTAAGAGTTTATCGAAGTGTAGATAATTCCTAGAATCCTCACGTAATTCCTGATTAATTTTACGTTTGTAATACGTTCTTGCATCAATTTGTATCGTTTCATAAGTAATAGACCAGGCAAACGCATAGACGTACGTATGAATTCGAATTTGATACAAATGTAACATTTTTACTACTCACTTTATTATTAAGTTATTAAATTACGTTAGAAAAAGAAACTGTACGACATGTGTGTACTGTACGTACATGTTCATATGATAAACAAGTATATGTAAAGATTTTGTATTTTAAGATCACATTCAGACAATTTCACTTGTTAAATAAATCCTTCTTAACAAATTACTTCATTACAAATAACGCATGTTAAATGAAAATATTATTTTTCTAAATAAAAATTGTGAAACTTGTAATGATATAATAGGAAAATTCGTCTACTATTTTAATATTGGTTCAGCTTATAAATAAATTCAAGTATTGAACATTACAATGACAATTACGTTTACGATTACTTTTAATTACGAAAACGTGCTTACTACTGCTATGCAGCAAATTCGTATTCTACTTTAAAATAAAAGAATACCGATGGATAAAATATTATCTTCAATTGTGCGTGGGTAAGCTTATTTCAACACCGTGATTCAAATAAACGATTCTACCAATGTGATAATAAAACAAGAGTCGCCAAAATACAACTCGTGGCGAAATTTATTGTAGAGGGCGTGGAAATTTCCATCAATGAATTTCGTCTAATATACGCAACAATAAACTACGTATGCTACGATTATTTTACTTATACTTATTATATATCATTATCAGCTAATTATGGTTTCCTCGAACTGCTTTTTTAATCCAATGTTGTTGTTATTCTTAATAATTGAGTAATTTTAGCTAGAAAAATATTAATTATTTTATCGTATAATATAGATGCTAAAGGAAGTAAATAAACACATTATGAACCATGTTTCGATAATTAAAAGCGCAAATATGTGCATGTGATATTACAAGTACGTGACGTTTCTGATCATCCGATATTACGTCATCGTTGTCTCCCTCTTTTGTATCTGGCGGTTATTCCATCGTGAACACCTAAGGATGCACATACACCGAGTATTTCAACCGCTTTTCATACAATAAAAGTGACACATCTTATTCCGTGTAATTGATTTTTATTTGTTCGTGTTGTATACAATTTGCGATTGTTAAGAAACTTTTCCTCGGTGGTTAAGAAGTACACAAGGCGTAGCTGTCATTCCGAAAACGTATGTTACTTTCGAACCGTATCCATTCTTTTCCCTGAAACTGTTTTTACGCGGGCAGTTTCAAAAGTGAATTTTCTCCCTGTTACTAACTCACTCCTACATCACGACGTTCTCATTTCGAATAAATTTCAATAATTTATTAAGAAGTAACGACATTTACGAAATATCGATGTTAAGGTTCTATGTTATGATTAATAAAATAAATCACCTTTAATTAGAAACTAATATACATCTTTAAATCGGTATTTAAATATATTATATCGGTATCGCGTGTAACAGTTAGTTTCAGGAAAGCCTAGTTTTCATAAGTTCATTGCACGATATTTATATTCCCAATAAAGACGAGGAGAAAGAGAATTCCGGTTCGGATTATTGAGAGCATGGTATTTCTGTGGTTTTATTTTCAGTATTTGTAGAAACAAAACTAGATTTAAATAAAGGTGTAGGTACGGCTTCTTGGCCTCATTTGTAATTCCCGTGTTCCTCTCGGTTGAAACGGATATAGGTACACAACTAGGCATTACTTATTTAGTACTTCGCTACCTGGGGTTCATAGTGCTGTTATTCGGCCCTGTGTGTATGTTGAAGCGCGTGCAGTGTGTAGAATTTCCACGCAAGTGTCGTGACGGGCGTCTGCTGGGTCAGCTGTTAAATAATATGTAACAGTGATTTGAAACACGAAATACCTGTTACATTTCACATTAGTGTTTCGTAAATTGTGCTGTAAACCTAGCTCGGTAAACATCCGTTGAACTCTACGAATTTAACACACTTCTAACGGAACTCTTCGATTTTTCGTCATATCCTATTACTTGTGGATGTAGTAGTCGTGTGTAAGGAAATTAGGGCGTGAAAAGGTTCGTTTAGTTCAATTGGACATTTTGAAAATTTGTTAAGATACTACATGGAACAATAGATAATTCAGATGACGTCAGGTTATCGAAAGCCGGGTCAACAAGTTACTTATTTAGTTCTGTACACGTTCCTTGTATCGTTAAATTATCACGTTGCAGGTATTGTATTTGGAATTCATACTGTTTTGTGACAAATGCAATATAAATTTCGTGTATTATTTTCCATTTTAACATTAAAACATGTTTTGTGACATATTAATGGTTTGCACCAGTTTCCACAGAGTGAACGAATATGTATGAAATTTTATTAAACAATTACGTGTAATATCACCAGCCATTAAGATATTCTACAAACAAATCTTATAACCATGATTCATGAGCAATACAGCTACACTAATGATCGTTGTTAATAATCGTGAAAGAACGTAGGAAAACCAGGTAAACCGTTATTACCTGATGTATAGGTTACCAAATGTACTAAAAAAAGTAAAATTTACGAGTAATTAAAATATAATTAATGATTTTGAAACTAATTAAATAATAAAATATTGATATCTTTGTGTCAGATTTGTGTAATTTTATAAAATGCTTCTGTAAATGTTTCTAAACTTGGTTCTGTTTTTACTATACGTGATTTGTGCTTATCTTTCTTCAAATTTGTATATAAAACCTGTGTTCTTTAAAATGTTGTATCTGAAACATATTTGCCAGTGGTAAATTAATTTAACATATTGTATGTTTTATTTACCAGAACTTATATGGGCCTATCATTGATACAATAGAAAATGTCTAGAAAGCGTGCCAGAGAAGAAACTATGTTGAATTCTACATCACATTCAAATATACAAAATGGAGAAATTGCATCCTGCTCTACCGAAGATTTGCCAGCCTACCCTGTGAGTGTTTTCATACTTTTATTAACATTATGTTATTTATAATTTGATGAATCATTTACATTATTAAGCAATATAATTTAGTGTTTCACACGTAAAGATTTTAATATAATTTAAAGATATTTTGAAAATAAAGAATACAAATTAATCTTCTATGAGTATTAATTATTTGTAATATGTATATAAAGGTGTATGTTACTGCATTTAATATTCTATATTAAAATATGTTGTCTTTTTGATCTTGTTATACATAATACTATGTGTATATGTCAATTTACTTCTGAATTTTTTATATCAAATAATATAAAGTTTATATACAGATCATGTAAGGCCAAAAAATTATCTCTAATCATAAAGATAATACATTTTTAATGTCATCACTCATAACCAATATGGAGAAAGTACTTTCAATGATAATGATATGACGTGATGTAAGATCATCGGCATATCTAAACTGATATAATACTGCAGATACTTCATTCTTTAATCAGCCTATATTGGAATGTTTCACAAGTATTTGCATTAGTATAAAGTTGGAAGGATATTATACTTTGTGATATAACAGAAACAAAATGTTGTATTTTTATTTTATAAAAAGAAAAGTATTTTAAAATATTAAGAAAAGTTTACCCAAATTTGATACAGGAGAATTTTGTCATATAAAAGGATTAGTATTATTTATACAAATATATTTTTTTTAATAATATTCACAGTTGGTGACAATGACTTGGGGGACCAACAGGACATCAAATAATGACTCAGGTCAAATTTCACTGAAAAAAATAAATAGTGAAATTTCTGTTTCCCACAAAGAACTTCCAGTGAGTTTAATTTGGGTTTTTTTTGCTTTTTTTTAAATAATTTTGATCATATTACATATAATGTACAATTAAATTCAAATTCTTTTATGTTATTTTTAAAAATAGGTGAATTATTCTATTTGCTTTATATTTGAAGTGCAGTAAAATGAAAATAGACAAAGCAATTGTATTATTGTTCTCCAGTTATGGTTGCTTAAAGATTGGGATGGTACACCTAAATAAATGCTTCTATTTACTAATTTCTCTTAGTAATAATTTATGTTTGTATAATCTTTCATATCCCAAATTATAAGTCTTTTTACTCTATTTGTGTTTTAATAAATTAATTTCAGTCGATTTGTAAGGAAGCACCTTTTAGCGATGATTCTGAAGCACTTGCTGAAAGGAATGCATGTGATTACAATATTCGTATCACGTTAAAAATGGCGAAAAGTGGTAAAGGTTAGTTTAAGTGAAAGTCAACTTAGTATTTTTTAAATAAATGACAATAAAAAATGATAGAACCTCCTTCAAAATGCTAACAAGCAACGTATTGTCTATTCAGCTCCTAGGAAAGTCAGGGTATATGCAGATGGTATTTACGATCTCTTTCATCAAGGACATGCACGACAACTCTTACAAGCTAAAAATATTTTTCCTAATGTATACCTGATTGTAGGAGGTACGATAGATAAATTGTAATATATTTGCACAAACTAAATAAAAAATTTCATAATATTAAAAACAATAATTCTGTTATTCTAAATGTAACTTTATATTATTACAGTTTGTAATGATGAACTGACTCACAGTAAGAAAGGAAGAACAGTCATGACAGATATTGAAAGGTATGATGCAGTAAAGCATTGTAGATATGTAGATGAAGTGGTTAGAGATGCTCCTTGGGAATTAGATGATGAATTTCTTACAAAACATAAGGTAAAATTAACTGTACATTTATTATTTTCAAAAATACATTTATTGATTGTTAGTAGGTTAATACTTAATGTTATAGATCGACTTTGTAGCACACGATGACATACCTTATATGACAGATGATAGTACAGACGTTTATGCTGCACTAAAAGCTAAAGGTATGTTTGTAGCCACACAGAGGACAGAAGGAGTATCCACATCAGACATTGTAGCCAGAATAGTTAAAGATTATGATATTTATGTAAGAAGAAACCTTGCACGAGGTTATAGTGCCAAAGAACTTAATGTTTCTTTTCTCAATGTAAGTTTACATTTCTTAAACAAAGTATAATCGTGACATATTGCGTTAAATAATACAATTATAGGAAAAGAAATTCCGATTACAAAATAAGTTCGACGATTTAAAAGATAAGGGTAAACGTGTTATGGAAAACATTGGTGAAAAACGTATGGATATGATCAGCAAATGGGAAGAAAAATCTCGAGACTTTATCGATGCTTTTCTACTACTATTTGGCAGAGAGGGCAGATTGGTGGGTAGTATTTACTTAGGATTTGTTTTATTACTTATTTTGTACCCGATATTAATTATACGTTACGAAATGTGTATTAACAAAAATAAACAATGTATTTATTAACTGATATTAATTACTCTTTTCAATCGGCATCATAAAATTCGGCAAATGAAACAAAGATTTAAATTTTCACTTTAAAAAAATTTTACAGTCTACAATTTGGAATGAAAGTAAAGGTCGGTTGATGCAAGCATTATCTCCCCCTGCAAGTCCAAAAAGGGATGGCAGCCCAAATGGCAGTAGTAGCAGCAATAATGATGAAGATCAGATAAGGTACATCACAGCATTCGAGTCAATTGACTAACATGCAACACCACTTCATTTTGTACTGCTTCTATATGAAAACCTTCAATACTTCACACCACCCATTTGCAGCATGTTATGTTAGTATACAATCCCCATGTTGTAAAATACATTAGATTAATTTTAAGTGATAATACACAATTGATCTAATGCTTGTTGTTAAAGGTGTGTTCAGTTTTATTTTTTACATGTTTAAATGTAAATAACCTATAGTATTGTCACAGAAATCTTCGAATAGAACGCAGATGTAATATGGAAATGCATATCTACTGTATGTTAATGTAAGTATGTGTAATTAATGTGTACATATTATGTTACAGTCCACCGCCGAAAAAGACTGGCCGTTTCGAATTGTCACGGAATAATTACTATTTAAGTGATGATTATAGCGACGATGAGGAGGAAAATTTACACTACAAATGATAACCCATTTCCCAAGAATAGCATTCTGACCAAATATACTGTGCAATCTCTCCAAGAATGTTTAGAGATATTTTCATACAGCTATGTGATCTGCTGATATGGATTATAATGCTATGCTTGATAGTCTCTGTATGGCATGATTTCTTATAGATTACACATAGAAATCGCATAGATTATTTAAAACATCTGTTATGACTACTTTCAAGAATTTTTCATTATCATTACTTGCATTCTTAATAAGTTCCTATGTTGTGAACGATAATTTATTATATATTTTGAATTGTATAATTAACTGCAAGAGTTTACAATAGACAAGTGACATATTCTTATTTTATAAATCTGTTAGTAATTTAAATGTCCAATTCATGGTTTATAACAATTTTCAATTACTTTCTTACGAATTTTATATAACATTTTGTACAAGTTACCTCATAATTAATCGCTTAAATAATGTTACATATGCAGTCAATATTTTTGTTGCAATGTATATTAAATTATACTTCAGTTTTCAAGTGTTTTACTAGATATAGATAATGTGTATGATAAGAGTATTATTTATTTTTACTTTTGGTACATAATTACTCTGTTAATAATGTATAGTTCAAGGCTAACATGTGGTAGGTGAGCATCAGATTTAAATCTGAAGTTGAACAAGTATGTCTAATATTTATAAAATACATCTATAAAACAAAATGTAAAATACCAGGAAAGTTATTACTTTCCTGAAACACATCAATTTATTAAACAGGATTTGATGATTAAGTAAATTAAGTTGTTGGTAATGATCAGTAGTTGATGCAATTAAATTTATATTTAGAAAAAAAATGTATCTTTATAAATGAATAACATTTTCTTTCTGAAAACATACCAATGGTGCCTGAGTTGAAACTTTTAATTTAATTACATGCAAATTGGTACACTGTTTCTTCAAAGCATGCAAGAACATTTTTAACATTAATGTTTGTTTAAAGAGTAACTGGTGCATAAATTAATAATGTATAATAATGTGAGATAAGAATAGTACTTGCAATTGTGTTTATTAAATGATGAGACGATATTGTGTAGTTAATAATTTTCTTTTAAAATCAAAACTCTTGAATAGTGCAAAATTATATATTTTTAAAGCAAAATATTCATATATTCATAATATCACAAATCATGTCTGCTTAAATATGAATAAGAAATGTAGTAACTTGTGCGTTCATGTTATTTGTATAAGAGGTTAAAAACTAATAAAAGTTGTTCAACGAATGCTTAAAAATTGTTTTAAAGTTCAATTGAATAAGATTAATTAGTTGCAACGTATTTTCAAATACTTATAGATCACACTGTAAAATATAGTTTATGTATTTATGCCTTTTTAGTATAGTTTTAGTATATGTTTTTTTGTTAGTATAAGAGGTTTATTAATACTCCATTTGTGAAAAATTTATTGTACTGTAAACACGTTAATTTACTTTTAAAACTGTAATAACAAATTATTGATGAAATTTTAATATTTTCTATTTATATAAATATGAAATATAATTCCTACAACCTCCTTATATTTTTATCGAATGTTACGTCGTTATATGTAAAACTTTTATTATTTTCAGTACACATAAGCGTCCTCGCTGGTGTAACTGTTAACAATGATAAATGAATATCGGTTTAAAAGCTTTAAATTGTTCACTAAATAAGTACACAGCAACGATTTCTCACAATTGCCAAATGTTGCGATCAAAATGTATGTAACAGTATCCATTACTTCCCACAATTGTACATCATTTTCTTTGTTACATATCACAAATTTGATTTTTCTATTACATAATTATCAATCGTGAAACCCACAACTTTGAAATTCCTGTTATTTGTATAATTTATGATGTTAGGAAAACGTAATTGACATCGATACAAATTGGTACACTGGATAGCTAACACGAACGATAACTTCAAGTCGGTCTGGTGTTAACCGCGCGTACAGTTTTTAGTATTCGTTTATCGTTAACTTTCAGCAGTTAAAATCGCCTAATGTTATTAAAATGTAATCTTCCATTGCAAATTGTTACGTATGTACATCTGTCGTCACATTCTAATGCGAATTACAGTTTCTCTCGCGAGGATTTTTAATTTTAACCTCAACTTGTCAATCTCTTTGTGAACGATAAAGCAAGTTGTTCATACTAATGTGAAGTGTGTAATTCATTAACTGTGTGCGCGTGCTAGTCCGTGGAAAAAGAAGCAGGATTTCAGCAATCAGTCAACAGTAGTAAGTGGGTAGAAGAATACAGAGTGAAAAAGACGGAAATAAGTAAAAACAAAACGCGGTGCTACTGATAATTTATGATTTCGTGCAATTCCATTACTTTCGTAGGACTTGACAAGAAAACAACGTAGATCACACTGCAGTCATATTCATAATGGATTTTAAATAAACGCCGACGGTAGAAAGTGTCGTTTAGTGCCAATATCCAAGCATATATACAACCGCATTGGTATTTATGTTGACGTATCGTATTTTATTTAACAGAGGAGAAATAGTATAATATAAAATAAAGATGATATTTATTTTACGACATGGACACATTTATTCATTCTTTTCACAGTACTAATAATAGTAATCAAGTAGTATTTTTGTTTAATAATAACGAAAAAAAGGAAGTTTATTATTACATTTACAAGTTTTAGATTTTTGTTTTATACACATTAATATGTAATTAGAGATTAAATCGTATAATTATTAAATTAGTAAGAGGTTGCAGAACACTGCATTTATTTTTAAGAAATGATTTTCTTACATATGATTCATCAAACTTGTTCCTAGGCTTTGGGAGATTGAAAAAAAAAACAAAGTTATAGTATTTGCTTTAAAACAAATCTTTTTTCATTTGCCCAGTATTCATCATTCTATTATAAAATGTATAATTTATAAAAATCAATAAACTTTCTCTCAAAAGTTTCATGTATATCATCCTTGTTATTATTCCTTCAATAATAGTTGTATAATTTTCAATATTTAAATTATTCAAATAACCTCATATTATTATAAAATTGTATCTATACTCTATAATTATAATTACATATCATATTTAAAAAAGTATCCTTTCTTCTCTGTGTTTTATTAAGTATACGGAAAATTCTTGTATTACGCGATTTCACACAATACGTAATGTATTAACCGTGTTTTACGAGAGTCTCTACTATACTTATCGTTAGCGTAGAGATTGATAACGAAATACAACAGTAAAGTCAAAGTATCATGTCGATTTAAGTGAAAAGAACAATTTTCAAATTTTGGCACGTCACATGATACCAATGCGAATGTAATACCAGACGCGTGCGTACGCGCACATACACGTACTTGAGGTTTCTCATGTGCTGTAGGACTTGTAAAAAAAGATTCACGTGGGGGACCTGTTCAGGATTCGAACTCAGGTTTGGTTTACACCAAGGGCGCTATACGCTGCGCCATCAAGCCCCACTGTTCTCCCTTATTTTTCCGGGTCCTTTCTCTCACTGGATTCGCCTATAGGAGGCGCTCCCAATAATCAGTACGAAGAAGAACGTACGAGTGAAACGATGTTGTAACTAACGGCCAAAATGGAAGAGCAAAGCGTTCACAGTAGTATCAGTGATATAAATAGTGAAGAGGCAGTTAGAAGTGACCGTAAGTTCGACAGTATTGTCATTTTATATGTTTCCCTTAAAATCTAACGTACGATATTAAACGATACGCATCCGTTGGGCATCAGCACAAACTAACCCTACCTCACTCTTTATCAAAACTCATGCGACAATACTAGTGTCTTATATCTGTCACCCATCCTGATCCGTAGATAAATCAAGATATAATATCCTCTACACTCGCCGTACATTTTCGCATTGTTTTCAAGTTTACGCGGGAGGGATGTCAACGGTTTCTTATAAATTTGGCCTTGGCTTATTCTCCAAAATTACGTCAGAAACGAACAATTTATCAAGTTCGAAATATCCTCATAAGCTTTCTCGTAGTATGTTGCATTTTTGTTTCGTGTTTACAGTATCTTTAGCGTTTATTTTCGCGTCTTTTAAAGGTTAATCGTATATATGAATAAAAGAGCGTTATACTTAAAAATACTATTTATTATGCATTATTTAAAAAATATATATATACATATAATTTTATACAATCATATTCTTTATGGTAGTGATATTTTGAATCATTTACCAGCATGATTATTTCAAACAGTTTTAAAAAAATATTATTGTGAACCTTTTTACCATTAATTATTGAGTAATTAGTGTATGAAAGTGGAATGTCACTTGAGATATTTTGTGCCCATGTATATTTGTTTTGGGTTAGTCATTATTTATGAGGGATTTAAAATGGGGAAAGTAGGAGGGACAAGAGGGTTGCTTGGTAGCTATTATTTCAAATGAGATTAGGCATGTAATAATAGGTATTTACTGCAGTCTTTGTCTGTGAATATAAAAGGATTTCCTTTCCTGTAAACTCTAGTGTACTATATTTATGAATTGTTTCTCTAAACTTGTGTCATTCCTTTTATCTGTGACTAGTATTTGAACTTAGTGTGTCATTCCTGTTGTAGATCTTATTTAATGTTTATTTTGTAATTCATTTTTAAACTATACAATATCAATAAGAATTTTTATATGAACATATTGTTAAAGTTAACACTGACTTAAATGAATGATAATTATTGTTTTATAAATGATTAGAATTCCTCAATATCTTTTTATATATTTTATATATATGAAATCATTTATAGTATGAATGAGTGAAATTAAAAAGGATGATTAAAGGTATCATGATCTTATTGCAGATTTATACATTTGTTAGCTTGTCAATAGCATGATTTGTGTTGCAAAACATAGATTATTATTTAATAGTTGTACATTGAAGGAGAATATTAAAAGCTATTATTTATCTTATTATTTTAATTGCAGCTGTGATTATACCACGTAAAAAAAGGATATGCTTAATTGGTGCCGCTTGTGATGATTCTACACTGGGTGCTGCTGCACAGCAGTTTAGTGTACCTGTTCTTAAATCAGAAACAGGTTCAGAATATATAGAAGACACGGCATATTGTACTTACTTTGTACTGAAACAATTCGAGGGACCTGAATACGATGCTCTCCATAAAAGTGCCCATAGGTTTGTCGTAATTAATTTCACATACTTTCTAATTTGTTAAAAAATAATCAAAAGAATCTGACTTTTGGTTGTTTTTATTTAACAAATTTTAGAATATTGGGACCGACGGCGCTTCTGCAATTAGCAGAACGAAAGGACTCATTACCTAGTATTAATAGACCAATGTACACACAAGCTATGGTAGGCACGGTAGTAGTCTTTACTGGATTTAGAAAAAAGGAGGAATTGGTTAGTGTCAAATCATGAATTTATATTAGGTATATTATAAAGTCAATGAGAAAGTAGTTTTATATTGCTAATTTTATCTTCATAGACCAAGTTGATCAACATGATTCATAATATGGGTGGAAGTATTAGGAAAGAAATGGGTGCAAAAGTGACACATCTCATTGCTAATTGTTGCGGTGGAGATAAGTATAGATATGCTGTTACATTTCGGGTTCCTATAATGTCCATGGATTGGGTGACAGCTTTGTGGAATGCCAAAGACGATATTTCCAATTATGGAAATAATGAAGATCTGGTAATAGTCTTATTAATTATAATTATTGTGTAATATAACTTTACCAGATTTCAAGATTTTATGTTTATAATGTCGAAAACATTATTTATGTACAGATCACAACTTATAAACTAAAGCCATTCTTTGGTGCAAAAGTATGTTTCTTTGGATTCCCTGATGAAGAGAAACGTCACATGTGTGAAGTTCTTCAACAACAAGGTGGTGAATCTACAGAAATTGATGATCCAAATTGCACGCATGTGGTAAGTTTATAATAAAATATTTCATGTTTTAATACACATTAATTGTAGTATACAATATTGCCATTATACATGTAAACATCTCATTTACAAGAGGACATTAAATTCTTTAGGTAACAGAAATAGGATGTCGTGAATACAAGAAGTCCAACAATGCATTTGACATGCTACCATATACTAAAAATCCTAATTATATTCCATACCATTACTCAAAAACAAAACCATTTTCCTTTACTTTCTACAATCCATATACTAATACTATTCCTAACATGGAAACAAAAAGTTCCTCATATATTTGCAATACTGATCACATAAATTTGTCAAGAAGATTGAGTACTAAACGTTTCTCGTATTGTTTTTCTTCTTCTCTGCCTCATTATCTTGAATATAAAGAAAATAAATTCAATTACTCAACACCAGATAATATAAGTCAAGATTCGGCAATTTATATGGATGATAATTTATATGATTATTCAAATTTGCCAAATGAATTTTCCAATATGTCTGAATCGTCTATAGCACAAACTGATTCTGGCATTGATATGTCTATGTCAAGATATTTACACAATATAATACAATCAAGTAGTTTAACTGTACCACAACGATCTAACTTTCCTGTAACATCTACTGTGTTAGATATACATTCTATGGATTCATCTTCAGCAGTTTACAATGATAGAAATTCACGAAATAATTCATCTAATGTTTTTTCAAATAAAAATACTAATAATGAAAGTACATGTACTCGATCAGAATTACATAATTTCAAGTCTTCTACACTATGTAAGAAAACAATTATTCAACATACAAACAAACACTGTCCTGATAGTGAAAGCTATATCTTGAAATCTTGCAAAAATGTACAGTGTACGCCAAAGTCTTTTTTCGTCAATCGAAAAATTGCAACTCCTAGACGATGCATAAAATGGCGAAAAGTTAAGTCTTGTATTGCGATTCATAAGATAACTTCCTCAGATAAATTAAAATTTAAAAAAATGCATTCTCATCCTAATTTACTAAAGCGATATGATTCGGAATTCAATGATTCTCTTTTGCACGATTCGCCCACACTGATTACAAAAAATAAAAGTTTTTTAAGTTCATGCAAATTGAATTCGTCCCTTTTATCAAAGCTTAGTCATTTAAATTTCTCTAAATATGTGCTTCCTGCTCCATGCCCTCAAGTTTCAGAAAATCATCCAAGACAGAAATATACTCCTTTACATACTCCTCTTCCTATACCTGCAAAGGTAGCAAAATTATCAAATTCTGACCATGGCTTAAGAAGTACTTTTACAAATGTTTCCTCTAAAATTTATGCTCTGAAAGATGATCATATAAGACAGGAGAAACAGGAGGACGTACCAGTATCTTTGGTATTTTTATTTTAATTTTTTTTCATGGGATTTTATAGGTTGTAGAAATACAGATTAATTGATTGTTTATTTAATTTATGGCTAAATTATTGACCATCAGTCTATAAGAATATTATAAAAAATAAGGTGTGGAATAAATACAAATGTAGAAATAAAGTATCTGTTAATGTCTTTGTAATAAACTGTTATGTCTTCGTACTGTTACCTTTGTGATGTTCCAAACTGTATGTCTACAGAACTGTAGGAGCTAATGTTGGATGTAGAATTAGTATGTCTTGATTATTGTTATTCATAAATATTTGTATTCTACTTTACATAACACATTATATTACTCCAGATTTTTTATGGGATAGTATTATTAGAACTAACAAAACATTGTATCTATTATATGTTTCAGATATAGCTGTCATATTTATCTCAACTATTACAAAAACATTAATAAATTATCTACTTATACATTTTTTTTATTTTAGGTTGTGGATGAATCAAATGTAAATGCATTACCAGATTTAGCTTCAGTAAGGGCTCATATTGTAAAAGCTGAATGGTTTTGGACATCTGTTCAAAATGAGGGTGCAGCTGATGAGAAGGAGTATTTATTTGAAGATGTAAGTTTATTAAGATTATTAGATAAATTTCTTGTTTAATAGTTTTTTTTATGTTTAGTATTTGGAATCTGTTCTGTCACCAACTATATCAGCTAGACGAGATAGTCAACAAACTACAACTCCGAGTACAGCGTCTACAAGACGAAAACGTAAACGTTTAGCAGAAACTTTATCTAGTTTGGTCCAAAATGGTGCAGATTCACCAGCTTTACATAAGAGACGATCCAGTATCAGTGATGCAGGACTTTTGAGTGTTAGCGGAAGTTTCCTTGACTGCACAGCAAGCCCAGATAAACCATTACTTGATGGTAAGTTATTTTGTTCTATGACATGTTTTATATCTTCTTTTTTTTTTTAAACTTGTTATTTTATTTCTTAAGGATTTTCTATAATTGTCAATTGCTATCTCATAACGTTTTAATATCTTTTTAACAATCCCAGTACATCTTCTCTTCCTTGGTGGTTCATTTATTTTGTTCTGTAAAGTTTTATTATTAACATTATCAAACTAACAGTACACGCAATCCAAATTTTCCAACTTAATATTGCTAACGATTAGACAATTTTGATATGAACCATATGAAGGGGAAGATAAAGTACAATTGAATTATTGATAACTATCAGATATTCCAGAAGTGGAAGCTGTTAACACGGATAGCTCTAGAAAAAATTTATCACCGCGACACCAGGTTTTCTTAGAATTAGTACAAACAGAGTCAAATTATGTTGGCATTCTCAGTACAATTATGACAGTAAGTATTCTTTTTTTATGTATATTATAAAGAAATAGGTAGTAAATCAATATATTTCTATTCAATAACGTTACTTATTTTTTTAGCTGTTCAAGTCACCATTGGAAGATCTCATAGATACAAGCGGCGAATTATTAAATGGTACCGAAGCTAAAATTATATTTGGCAATTTTCCACCCATTTATGAAGTTCATAAAAAAATGTTGGAAGAATTGAAATACAGTGCCACACATTGGATGGAGGACATTAGCATAGGTAATATATTTCTGAAGTTTGCACCTGACCTAGTCAAGGCGTATCCGTCGTATGTCAACTTCTTCGAAAATACAAAGGACATGCTCGATCAGTGTGATCAAACCAAACCACGATTTCATGCTTTTCTGAAGGTTTGTCAAACGAAACCTGAATGTGGTCGACAAAGCTTAAAGGAATTACTGATTAAGCCAGTACAAAGGTTACCCAGTATTAGTTTATTATTAAATGGTAAGTGTATTGAACAGTTATTTCATTACGTCAAATAATAATAAAAATAATTAATATTTGTGATATTCCTGTATTTTAGATATCCTTAAACATACGAGTAAAAATAATCCAGATCATAGCGCATTGGAGTTGTCGATTAGCAGTATTAAAGAAGTTATGACGTATATAAACGAGGATAAAAGAAAAACTGAGGGTCAATTAGTTATGTTTGACATTTTTAATGAAATTGACAACTGTCCACCGCATTTAGTTTCTTCACATCGATCATTTATTGGTAAATGTGATGTGATGGAACTTAGTGAGGGTTTAAGCGGGCGTGGTGATCATTTAGTTTTGTTCCTGTTTTCCGATACACTTGAAATATGTAAAAAAAGATCGAAAGCCTTTAACTCATTAAAGAGTCCTAATACAGCAAATGGATTGCACACAACTAAATTAAGTCAAGGAAAACCATATAAACATATCAAGATGTTATCACTGAGTACAATAAAAAAAGTTGTCGATATACGAGAAACTGATGGTAAGTTATATAAGTTATATAAAATAAGTTGTACTATTTTTATTTGTGTTTATATGATAGAGAAATGCTTTAAATTGGTTATTTTTATATTTACAGAATGTCATAAAGTTTTTGCTTTAATGGTAAGAAGTAATCAAGAGTTAAAAGAGAAACTGTTTTCATTTACAATTACCGATGAGGAGGTAAATAAGACAAACTACCTCCGGACTTTGTGCAGGCAAATGGCTAATACAGTATGCAAAGCTGATGCGGTAAGTCACAGTATTTATTTAACGCATGTTAATTTTGTATTTTATTTCAGTATTATTATTATTATCATCATATTAGTAGTATTTTATTGTATAGCTCATAGTAGCTTATATTGCCCATAGCAGTTTTGTTTTGTTTTTATTTTCAGGATACGTTCCTGATAAGTCTTGATTCGCATCAGCTTGAAATTGATACAAGCGACGTAGCATTAGGAACATTAAGCAAAGCATTTAAGTAAGTAGTCCAAGGTTAATTTAATTTAAAATTTTTCTTTGATGTACAGTTTTAGTATTGTAAATAATTACGTTTCTCTCAAAGCTGTAAGTACATTTCTTACATATTCTCTTTCAAATTGAATTATGCATTATTTATCAGAAGTGTAGTGCTTACAGTTGTGAAGAGGAATGTTTTAAAATAACGATTATATTATTTAGAGAAGTTGAAACTCTATTAGGCATTATAAGGACAGATAATTAGTATCTAGTTTTCTGTACTCTTAGAGTTGCTTTAGCTGGATTATTACTACGTTTTACTAAACTGTAGGATCTCTGATACCTAATTTAGAATGTTATAATCAAATTTATATACATATAAGCATTAAATTGAATACACATATCTACGAACAATACGCACAGTTGTGAAAGGAAAAATTATTAGGTGTTCTAAACCGTTTTTCTCCTGTATTGCATGTTAACAAAAAATAATGGGGCGACGACTCGTTTGGTTGCAGGAGCCTATTTCATAATTTTTACCTGGAGTATATGGACCCGTATGTGTTCCTACTCAATAGCATGTGTGAAACCACGTTACATGTCCCACTACCGTCAGTTTTCGCACCAGGCTGATTATCTTTTTTTTATTCGCTTTAATACAATACTTTGTCCCCTGCTTGTTTAGAGTACTCGATTTTATTCTTTGAAGTCGACATACAGAAAGTTAAATTGTTTCGCGAAAACAACTTGACCAGTTCAAGCGTAATATTAATAATATCAGCCTGTTTCAGAATATTAACATTACTTGATTAAAACGTTTAATATATTTTGGATTAAAATATTGGCACATCTTACAAATCCATACAACTAATGTGTTCCAATCACTTCTATTTTTATTTTACAAAACGTACAAAAATTTTAGTAATTTATTAGAAACTCTATACTTTCAAAATTGAGCCCCATTTGCACGTTTACATATTCACAATGTAGATTGGCAGTTGTGGCATAATTGTTTTCTGTAGTTCAGCATGAATAAAATTTGTTGAACTATAATTTGGCTTTTGCATGTACACTAAAATTAACAGTTATGGTATAATATTTACTTGAACTGGTTTAATAAGGTTTGGGGTTTTTCTTTACTTTTATGTTTGCTAATTCCTTCTTTTGGAAAATTTATTTCTCCCTATTTAGTAACATTTCATTCTTAAGATGAATTACTTAATTTCGTATATAGTTAAACAAAATTAAAATTTGGGAGAAGTAAAGTTTTGATACTGCTTTCGCTCTTTCTGTAGAATGTAATTTAAATGAATTTGTAATGAATATTTTTCTTCAGGTTTGCGTCTCGCACAAGGATGAAAGTCGGCAGAGCGTTTAGTTTTAACAAAACCCCAAGCAAATTGAAAAGAGCAATGTCAACGATGATGTCGCCATTCGGATCAACCAATAGCCTTACTCCAGCAAGTCAACAACTTGCACAGATGCGGCTTGCTAGTTGCAACAATATTAACGTTAGTTGACAATTTATTAACGCATGTATTCTACTTTTGCTTCTCTGCTTACACTTTATTTTTTTATTTCTCCTTGGTTACTTTCGTTTCACGACAGGAGATTGTTATCTCTTTAACATCAGTTAAAATCAGTCTTTTGCTTCCTATGAAAATCTCTCTTTAAGTCGTCTTTATTTAACCCTACTTGCAACCGTTATATTAAAATTTCTTTCCATTCTCAGTAGAATCTGCTTATATGCATGGCTCCAAAACTATTCATGCTTGTTATTAATATTATTTTGTCTTGTATATATTTTTACAGTATGACATTATGAATTTGATATTATATTATGGCATATTTAAAAACAATTAAATTAACGTATTCTTTTTTATTTATTCACTTTAAAGCTTCGTGTAAATGCTTCAAAAGATTATTTTATTGTACGTACATTATAATATATTAAACTCTTATGTTCATTTTAATATATTATATACTTTTTTATTTTACGAGTTATATTGATTCATCCATAGTGTATGTTTTTCTTTGCTATGTTTACTCTAACACAAGATTAATTGTAAACCTTGTGTTTATGCTGATGCAATATTAATGGATAAATTTTGATTTCCAACACAGTAAGTATACTATAGCGCGTTATGTTATGGAATATTTATTAAATTATGTAGTATGTATGGAATTATTTATTAACGTTCAATCGAAAATATATTTGAAATAATAATATAACCTTTTAACGTCTTCTCTCGTGAAAGGGAGTAGAGAGGAGTGTTAATAGAGTACTACTTTTCACAGGCAAAATTCATTTTAGGAATGTGACGTCACGCAGTGTTTCGACTGGATCAAAATACTTTGCGTCACAAATTAGATAGAAAAATCTATATTTATCTTGTTAATGAGTGATATCCTTAAACTGGATTCTACAAATGTTGAAAATCTATATTCTTATGAAGTTAACTTTGCTCCTATAGAGGCATTTTGTTTTGACAGATCTTTTTAGTTTATTTTTTGTTTTTATAATGACTTGCAGTATAAAGGTCACATAGGCTGGATCTCTTTGTGTATTTTTCTTATTATTTTTTTTTTTTTTTTGTTAAATATATTTGCAATGAAAAAACCTATATATATAAGCATTTTTGTTTCTTTATTACACCTATGAAATTGCATGTTTTATAAATTATTATTCTTTTTTTATGAATTATATATTTCAGTGTGAGTTAGATGTTACCTTGTGTGTCAAGTTTCTCTTGTTTTATGACTGTTTTTCATTCTCTCAATTGCATCAGGTATTTTCTTTGAGAATTGTGTACATGAATAGGATAAATAGATATTCGTATATCTTTCCAGGAGCTGGGTAATGGTGGTTCAAGCTCGCCATCTAGAGATGATGTTCTAGTAGCACCCATGTCGGTTCAACCGACACGAAAGGCCAAATGCAGTTCCCTCAGTATGGCTTCATTAAGAAGGTTGTAGTTAGTATGTCAGAAACAATGCATTTTTGTTTTTGCTACTATTGCATAACCACATTTGGTCAACATTCTCATCATTAATGTGCCTTGAACTTTTTTCATTTTGAGTTTATTCTTCTTCGGAAACACAACATTTATAAACTCATGTGAGATCCATATACGTAAATATCTTTCATATATTGGTATAAACATACTAATATGCAAATTCGTAAAATCGCTTTATATTGAACGATTATATAGACTGCATTGAAATTTTTATTATATGTACATTTAGAACAATGTAAAGTTACTATTATTAAATAGATTTTAATGTATTGTAGAAGGTTGTTGTTTCGTCAGAAAGATTTGAATGAAGTTTTATCGAAAATTCGTTGTAATTTACGTTATGGATTAAAATACTCGTGTTGGTCAAAGAAAATCTACTCTAACAAATCGTGAAATTTTCAGATACTGCAAGCGCAGTATCACGTTTGCAATTAATTATTTTTGATCATGGATCTAACGTTTTTCGCTGGTGTCGATGTTTGTATGTATATATGTGTTTGTGAAAAAAAATCACCTACATCGTTTTTTATAGTTCATGTATAAGTACCTAATACTATCTTAGAATATCGTAGAAACGAAACTAATAATGGTGCCTATTTAGTGCCTACATAATTAATTAATAGGTCTTTGTAACATCTAATTTAATGTTTAGCTTAACTAATGCATATTTATTAAATTATTGTAGGTATTTTTCCTTTCCATTCTTCTGTGTTGGTAAATTGCAAAATAGTCATATGCTTACTACATTTTCGGATTTAAAAGACCAAAAGACTTACTCATTGTTCATTGTCAATATTTGTCTTGTATAAATTTCTTCACCAACTCAGTTTACAGTATAAATTAGCAAGAAATCACGTGAAACATGAAATTAATAGAAGTGTATTTGGTTTTTGTTTGTGACATAAGAGTTGGTGCAATTGCCTAAGTTCTATATGTTTCCATATTCTTTTTGACTTTACTTTGTTTATCCTTCAGAAATTGTTCAGAGGAAGTCATGCAGGACAAATCCGATCTTTGAAGTACAGGGCATGAATAATGCACAACTATGTCATACCTTGTTTCTTTGGTATCAATGAAAGGCCTATATGGAAAAATAGAGGGGATTGGAAACGTTGGTGGGAAGATGTGTTTTTATAATATAATCAGGCACAAGAAAAATGACGTCTGCAAATTACTATGAAAAAATTACAATTTTCTACTTGCCATGTGCCAACAGAACCACATGTGTTTTATAAAGAAAATGTACATTGCCAGTTATTCTTTAAGAAGCTACAACTATATATGTTAACGATGTACCGTATCTAATACCGTATCGATCGTTAATTTTTATATATAACATTCAGATAGTTCAAACTCTTGTCTCAGGAAGACAGATGGAATTGGATTTACAGCTAGGAAAGGACATTACATTTCCAGTGCTATAATATAACTTTTATAGAAAAAGGAAGTACGAATATTATTATTGTGCCATTTAATTGTATTGTATAAGATACATGTAGAATTTATTAGACTGTCTAGAGAGAACTTGTGCTCTGTTAAAGTGAGAAGATAGAAATGTGTAACGCTAATTCATAAAATTAATATTAACTTTACACTTCTTACTTGAACTTTAATTCGACCGCCGCCGCTGATACTATTACAGTTTTAATTCATGAGTATAAATTGCAGTAATTCACTATGACTTCTTCGTTTTCATTATTTTTTTTTTATTCAGTTTATTTTGTTTTGATTTTAATATATTTCATTTAATATAATATCACTGGAAAATGTAGCTCCGTTAAAAGCAGATATGTATTATAGTGTGTTTATTTCTTTCTTATAACTGTGTAATTGCATTAGAATGAGAATTTTGAAAGGATTGAATGATGATACAGTGAAAGAAAGTAAGATTTTGAACACGTTAATATCGATACCTCTTTTAAATAATGTACTGTGTAATATGAAATAGTTGCAAAAAGCAATAGTTTACCCTTACATTACTGTTACATTTTTTAGGTCTCCAATTATACGCTTATTGTAATTGTAGACTTTATAAAAATTCACGTTAAAATATCCAGTTTGTTGTTTAGATTACAAACTATTCTGTTGTCTACACTTTAAATGGATTATGTTTATATTCTTGGGAAATACGAAATACATTTCATTAATTTGGCGCAGATCTGAAATATTTGTGTAGTCATTATACATTTTTCAATTATATTAATCGTATATGTTATTTGTATCGTAAATCTTAAAATATTCAATTATTAAGTATCGTAAACTATTGTGAGATTCATTACAAATTTCAAAAAGTATATTGGTACAAAATGAAAATCACTATTCTCTGTGGTGTAATCTTTTGGATGTAATAATTGTTTTTTAAGAAACATATTATAATACTATTTCTAGAATTATATTTTATTCATAGTATACAAGAAATTTGTAAATATTCCAGCTCAATGAGCAGTATATTAAATGAACATATCATAAGATTTGGGAGATATTTATTATACTAATAGATAAATGAAAATCAAATTATTGCCTGAAGTATTTTTTTTTTTTTTTTTAATTAATTAATTAGTTAATTAATTATGAGAAATTCTGACAGTTTCTTCTTTTGGTTGGAAATAAAATCTCCCTAAACATGCCAATTTTTCTTTCTCTGAACACCAACCAAAAATGATAATTGAGAATTGATAATTCAGAATTGATTAAAATTTGTATTTCAGAAAAAAAAGCATACTTATCACTTCATGAATATAGAGATAAGAGATACAAAACTATTTTTGCATAAAAACTATTCCAATCAATACATTGAATGAATATTTGATTGATTGATTAATCATACGGAATTAAGAGTGAATATGTTGAATAATTGAAAGCAAATTATTTTGTGAGATGTAAGTGTCAATTATATTTAGTCCTTGTGGATGTAACAATAAATTGTGCTTTTTGCAATCTGTTCTTCTAGTGTTCAGTAGTCAATGTAATTGCTTTTGATGGTCTCAATTAAAAGAGAAGAATCCATCAATAATATTTATGTACATTTGGCACTATGATTCAAATTGAAAGATTGCAAAAAGAAATAAAACAAATTGTTGACTCTTTACAAGGACCAATTACCGAAATTCTTGCCTCTTTAACACTTGCACACAATGCCTATTTAAATGATGTGCCTTTACATAAAAAGAACCATTAAATACAACGATTTTCTCAATGTTTTGGTGTGAGAGAAACGAAAAATCCATGGATGATATTTTTGTAACTCTTCATTTAGCACTCGAAGTGCGTGCTTGCGCGTAATTACGAATGCTCTGGTAGCACTTCGTACTTCGAGTATTAACTTATGTTAGACTCTTAAGGTTCCAGTGTCACTGTTCCAATGTTTGATTTCCATTAAGCGGTTTTTTAAAGTTTTGGTAAATTGAACAGCATCATTCTAGCACGGCGCATGGGCAAATGAAAAATATAAGAACACCGTGCAAAATCGTAGAAAAATAACTGTTCATAAAATCTATTTGTTACAATTAATTATCAGAAAATGTCTAGCCGGTGAGGAAAAGGTGTAATACGTTTTTTCGTTCTAAATCTTTCGAAATCTTTTAGAATATTATAAATATTGCAATGCATTGCAGTGAATTTTAGTTACCGAATCGGTTGCTGAATCGTTGATTTATTTTTCTGACGTCCATGGACTGTGATAGATATCCTAATGTTTTATAATAACTGTTACGTGTTTGATAAATAGTCAATATTTCGACGTTACTGTCGTGGAACCGTTGACATAACATTTGGAATCGTAGAGTTTTACGAACTAGATGTTCAGCGTTTTCTCCGATAGGGACGGGAAAGTACTGTTCAATTCGGAGTACTGTATATATTACCGATAAGTACTATGTAAGTGTAGTATAGCGCAAATGATGTTTTTTACTACACGCGTAAAACTATTGTAATACTTGTAATTCGCGTATAGTCGTTACTATTTATATGATACTGTAATTGATTGTATAAATTTTTTCTTTATTATGTAAATCAAAGATGAAGCTGCTTTCTTTCTTTCCCCAAGTCTTAATGTTTTCGTAAAATTTTCAGTTGTAACCATAAAATGTAATTTACTCAATTGGGTGGTTAACAAATTTAAAAAAATGCTTGTTATGTCAAAGTATGTATCAAGCAGTAATACATTTTTAATTGAAGTATTCATCAGAGCAGAGCTAGTGTGAGGCAAAAAATGGTATACAACACTGTTCATAATCAGATTTTATTAATAAAACAATTGTCAATACGATCCTTTATTTATTTCTCTTGTAAAATTTATCCATCGAGTGTACACCAACAAAAGTGTTGGAACGCTCGGAAAATTTGTTATTAAATCATATTATTTTTATATATTGTCAATGGGTGGATTTAGAAAGACCACCGGGTATAAGCGGGTTTTAGTGGCGCCATCGCCGGGAGAACGTCCAAGTTTGTAGTGAAAATAGTTTCCACTGTTGCTGGTAGATTGCGCCACTACTTAAAGGGTTTATAATTGTTACTACATTAAATAACTATTCATAAAAATAATAAATTTGACATATTAATACTTGCCCTGTTATAAAGCAACGAATCGTATTAATTATGCATTAATAAAATATAATTTATTAGAATTGATCCGTTGCGCCATCTTTCAGAGACGGTGGGAACTATTTTCACTACAAATTTAGACGTTTCTCCACCGATGGCGCCACTAATATTAAACTCCGCTCACAGAGCGGCTTAGTGAGCCGCTCAATAGTTGCATATTGTGACTTTATTCTGACAGAAAAAATTGTAATATATTATGTTACCTTTTTTGGCGTTCGATACTTTCTTTTTATACTTCGCAGATTCAAAGATGACTGGAAGGAATAGGAAACTGAACGACGAAAGAATGAATCACTAACTGTTTCCGTAGCTCCTTTATTCACTTTCATTCGTTATTACTGTTATTTATATGTATGTACAGAAAACCGTTATTAACCAATCTCAATTATAGGAGAATTGCGGGCTAAAAGTGCTGGACCATTGCAGAGCAATCGTATCTTCGCACATACTTCCTTTCAAGATAGAATGTGTAAAAAGGTAAGGTAAACCCTTGTAAAGAAATATTTCGTAGAAAAATGTTGTGTATATATCTTCAACAATTCAATTCCTTACCTATCAGGTAATCGAAAAGTAATAATAGAAAACAGGTCCCATTATCCAATCTAATCTGCACTGGAACTACCAATCATTCTTTTTCTCAGTTTTCGTTCTTGTGTCAAGACGTTCGATTTATGATGAAAATTTAAGTTAAATAAAAGAATTCTTTAATTCAAGACACTTCTTAAACATAAATTCGGAAATATGAAGCGTTTTACGATAAAAGGATGGCAATGACTAATTAGTAATAACGACAACAAAAAATGAGATGTTTCTCGAATATCGCAGATATAGGATTTATTTCCGTATAATTAGAAAATATAATTAAGCCGAGCTAAATTATGAAGTCTGTTGATGTTCTTGTGAAACAGATGTTAAAAGTAGTTCTTGTAGTTTACTTTCTTTTTGCACGGAACTCGTGGAAACAAGAAATAGGTTGGTTGTGTCGCCATCGTTCGGCCGTTCACCTTTCCTACGAAATTCTTTCCGATGAGAAAAATGACGAAGCAACCACTTCGATAAACGAAATATACGAATGTCAAAGAAATGTGGCGAACGTGTAATTTCACACACATGAAAAGCCAGTCGTCGCGATTTTTTATCAATTCTATTGTTCTTATTCATTGGTTGCGATTTTGTAGAAAATATTGCAGTTTGCGATGGTAATAATATAACGCTGTTCTCGCGCGAGGAACGTGAAAAAAGAAGGTAAACTACTTCGGCTACTATACACCGACGCCCATCTGGCAATACATATGTACGGAAACTAGTTATTTCCTTTTCTGGGCCCTCTCGGCAGCCTTGGTGACTTTGCCAGTAGCATCCTTGAAATTGACACCCTTGATGACACCGACAGCCACCGTTTGACGCATGTCACGAACAGCAAAACGTCCTAAAGGTGGAAACTCTTGGAAAGCTTCGACGCACATGGGCTTGCTCGGAACGAGCACAACAATAGCAGCATCCCCAGATTTGATAGCTTTTGGATTTTCTTCGGTGGTCTTTCCAGTACGACGATCGCACTTCTCCTTGATTTCCGCGAATTTACACGCGATATGAGCAGTGTGACAATCCAACACTGGTGTATATCCATTGCTGATTTGACCTGGATGGTTCAGCACGATTACCTGTGCAACAACAATATGAGATTAAACATTTTTTTAAGATAAATATTAACAAATTCATTATATACGAATGTTATAATATAGATAGCACTCAGACGTCATCGGCCATCATCAGATTAAAAAATCCTCCGGTGAAAACCGCGAATGAAGTAATTAAAGTCTCATCATTGTGCCAATTATTATTATTATTTACTTCAAATTAGAATAAAATAACTTGTTTATTAATTTTAATATTGCTCTAGACATTTACCTGTGCAGTGAAATCAGCAGCACCTTTAGGTGGATTGTTCTTAGAATCTCCGGCTACATAACCACGACGCAAGTCTTTAACGGATACGTTTTTAACGTTGAAACCAACATTGTCACCAGGAACAGCCTCTTGCAAAGCTTCGTGATGCATTTCGACGGACTTAACTTCAGTGGTTAAAGCCGTAGGAGCGAATGTGACGATCATACCTGGTTTCAATACACCAGTTTCGACACGTCCGACTGGTACTGTTCCAATACCACCAATTTTGTATACGTCCTACAATTAAATTTAACGCAGTATTATTATACGTTCCATAAAAGACTATTAATCATATAAAGAGTTTATTTTAGTCAGACATCTCTGGCCATCAACGAATTAAAAAATTCTCCGGTGGAAACCGCGAATGAGTTAAAATTGTTCTCATCATAAAATACAATTAAAAACTTAATACCATTGTATTAATTCGGTAACTTACTTGAAGAGGAAGACGAAGAGCCTTGTCCGTAGGTCTCGTAGGAGGAAGAATGGCATCGAGAGCTTCGATAAGGCATTTTCCTTCTGCTTTACCCTCTTTACGTTCAACGTTCCATCCCTTGAACCAGGGCATTTTGGAAGAAGCTTCCAACATGTTGTCTCCATGCCAACCAGAAATTGGCACAAATGCAACAGCAGCCGGGTTATAACCAATCTTCTTAATATAAGACGATACTTCTTTCTTGATTTCTTCAAATCGGGCTTCGGAGTATGGCGGTTCGGTGGAGTCCATCTTGTTGACACCAACGATCAGTTGCTTTACTCCAAGAGTAAAAGCAAGCAGAGCATGTTCACGAGTTTGTCCATTTTTCGAAATACCAGCTTCAAATTCACCAGTACCAGCAGCCACAATCAATACAGCACAATCGGCTTGAGAGGTACCAGTAATCATGTTTTTGATGAAATCTCTGTGTCCAGGAGCATCAATAATAGTAACATAGTATTTAGCAGTTTCAAATTTCCACAAAGCGATATCAATAGTGATACCACGTTCACGTTCGGCTTTCAGCTTGTCCAATACCCATGCGTATTTGAAGGAACCTTTGCCCATCTAGAATTAATAATAAATTGAATCATTCCATTTTTTAATTTTCATATAATTAAAATTCTATGTTTTAGACGTTTCAAAATATTTAAATATAAATTATACATGAATATCACTGGACTAAAGCAAAAGAAATATCAGTGACATGAACTCAATATTTTATACTGAATTTTAATAAGCAATACAAATATAAACAATGGTCTTTACTTTACATGCTATATGTATTCGATGCTTACCTCCTGGGCTTCCTTCTCGAATTTCTCGATGGTACGTTTGTCGATACCACCGCATTTGTAAATTAAATGTCCAGTGGTGGTGGACTTGCCAGAGTCGACGTGTCCAATGACGACAATATTAATATGAACCTTCTCTTTACCCATGGTGAATTTATGGCGAGACTACTGGTGAATTCTGAAAACAAAGAAAAAAAATTAAAGATTAACATTTTCGTAGATTAACTGTATGGGTCTAAAACAGTCGGAAGCCGGCAAGAAATTATTAATTATTAACGAATATCTCTTTAAGCTAAACAGGTTATGTGTAGAGACCACATGCTTCAAAAAGTCAATATTTCAAATTCACTTTCGAAATATAATAGAATATTCATACAATTTTCCGTAAGACATATTTTCAATAAAATTATATATTGCACAAGTTAATAAGTTTTAATCACAAATAAAGTAGTTGTCTTTATTCTAACATCCACGTGGCGATATCTGAATATTCGAGAACGGAACTGGCAGCCATTTTGTAGATGGCAAGATCATTGCAACGTTGCCGTAATTTCCTTGACGCTTGGCATCGCACGATGCCACGTTCTAAATCATTGTAATATTTTCCAAGAAAAAGGACTGTAATTATTTTTTTAAATATTCGAAGCTATCAATTTGAAATTTACAGGGGAAGTGATACACGTGATGTTTGTCGAACAACCGCATACTATTCCTATGTTCACAAAGTACATCCAAGAAAATGATTAAATTACTTGATATAGTTACCATTTAAGTTTGTTAAGTTGCAAAGAACGAATAATTTTATTAAATAGAAATGTATTGATTGCGAGTACTATAAAAATATAATTAACGTTATGCAACAGATTGTTCAATTTTGAAGTACGTATCGTGCGTACGTAAAAGTAAATATCACTCGTTTAAAAATTTGTCACTTAGTACTTCCGATAGTACAATGTTCACTTGTTATCACTTTAGTACAAGAATATTTGTTTCTGCGATAAGAAAAAAGGATTAACATAACAATTTGTTACACTGAAAATCGGTAAACGAACTCCATTGTCGGCAACAAGTCGTCCCACAAGGTCGTCGTTGCACCCGATTTCCAGCAGATTTATATCGTACGCCTGGATACGAAAGTTACGTAGAATTAAATATCAATTACAGTTCCTTTTTCGATGAATCGTTAAAATTCTTTTTGTCGTTGTTCCCGTTCGACCGTCGAGCACACAATTAAAAGTTTTACACTAAGAATATCTCCAATGATGCACGAACTCGTGACCGAATCTTGCAACTCTGACAAGCGACCGCCATACTGCATCCGGTTATTTGCCTTTACTTCATTTTTTAAGTTTAAAAATCAAGTCCAACTCGTCGTTTGTTTCACCGCGTGGATATTTCTTTGTACGGGCAACAATTAATCACGCGGTTCAACGTTTTACGAGAATACGTCGAACGATTTTTACGATGAACAGCATGTGCTCCGCGTTTCGAACAGCCGGCTAATACAGCAATCGACCATGCGCTTCTTTTCCATCGTTGTGATTCACCGAGGAAAACAATAATTCTGCAAAACTGTTGTCACAACACAATTCGTCGATAATTCGTTCGTTGTTCTATTCTGTACCTGACGTTCGATGCTACCTCCTCGGTAAGAAAATCAACGGATTACAGTCCTGTGCTAAAACCACGAACAACCACTCACCTCCAGATGCCACGACAGAAAGAGATCGTCCAAGTGAAGTGACATGCGCATACGGCTTCCGACCATAGTCTCGAATCCAGCGCCTCCACCATATCGATCACTCGTCAAGTAACGAACCATTTGTTTGCATATTATTTATTATCTTTCCTCTGTTATTAATATTCTAATAAATTAACTGAAACGTTGCATTATTAGTTTAATAATGACATTCGTAAATCGTTGATTTCGACGAGTACTGAAATTAAAGTCTTTAGAGAACGGTGCGCTGCATTCGAGGTTACGGTTACGCAGCAACATCAGGCGCGTCGAGCCCATACATATATATACCTATATATACATATATACAGGTATATACATGCGTTCATACATATACATCAGTAAACGGTAGAATACATGGATGTATGGTTGTGTGCGAGCATGGAGTCGGGAAAAAGATAGAGAATGTTAGGTCGCTATGATCAGGGATGCATTCGTGTATCCGTAACATCAAGTTCAATGTTACAATCCTGAACCCATTGAACTTTAAGATGCTGAATAATAATATGAAAGAGGAGTCGATTTTCTTCCAGGCTGACTTTTCATCGGAGCGTTCGATCGAAGATGGTGTAGGTGAGTTCGATGCAATTACGACTGCCATTTGTGACTGGAGCAACACGGCCACGATGCAATCTAGCGAACCAAGATTATTACATGAAGCATTTTGCATTTTGAGATTATTAAATATTTTCGTAATGTTATTTCAATTGCATTACCAAACTATTAATTTATGTACGTTCATCATTAGGCAATCACGATTGCTTTGTATTCTTATCACGCTTTGAATACCGTATATGTATTACATTTCAATCGTGATTAATCAATTAGTCATGATCGGATAAAGAAGTATCGTTATTTAAATATGTACGTATATGGAGATTCCATATTATTAATCAGTGAAGTCTTTATTAGTACAAGAGGAATTGTATAGGAAGATAGAAATGTGAAACATTTGGAGTTACATGTATGTATGTATATTCCAAATATAAATAAAGATTAGATGGATTTAATCTTTAAAAAAGAAATAAAACTATTTGATTTTTATTTCGAAAATTTGCTTCAAATGTACATATTTAGCTGAATTTTTGCATAATTTTGTTTTTGAGGATTTTTCGTTGAAACTTTGAACCCTATCGACGCTACACTAACTGTGATTTAAGTGAAAGGCGAAAAGAGGTTATGCGAATCTTGAAGGAATGTATATGATACTAACAATACTTTGTTACAGCCCTGGATTCCTGTTACAATGTCTTTCCGGTGGCGACAATAGAATGTTGCCTCCATGAACTTTCATATTGCCCTATTGTTTACATTTTTAAAATTCCATATGTCCTATCCTTGTTTCGTAAGGCTCGAGTTAAATATTTCATTACTTAACGTAACAATACTAATATTCAACCTTTTTTGTGATCACATTCAAAACATTATTTGAAACATTATGACAACTAACATATTATTTTATGTTACAATTATACGAAATGATTGTGAAATTGTTCTTCGAAATTGTATCAAATCGTTATTTCTTATTTTCATTTCAATCAATAATTTGTTCATGATTGATGTAAATCATTGAAGTATTTGATAATTTCCTCGATATAAATTAGTCCTCGCTAACTGTTACCTACAAAGAAATAGTTTAGGTTCATGTCTGGGTTATTATCGACTGTATCGAAAATTGATCTAGGGCAACAAAATTCCCAAGCTTTGTTATAAATGTTTTTGTTGTTACAGCAACGATAAGCGAAATATAGATTTTATAGTTGGTACAATGACTCTTTCAAAATATTTTACGGTATTAAATTTCTGAAAATAAAAAATATTGCGTCCAATTGCTACCGGCCGGTAAGATGTTAAAAAAAGATTAAAATTACCTTTTCAATAGAAGGTAAGTAGAAATGTATGAATTAATTTTAAAAAACGAAGTTGACCTTACCATTTCTTATTTACTTCACTTGTGGATGAACGATTTACGATGACCTCTTTGAAATCAAGATTGGTCTGATGTATTTTTTTTGTTTCTATCGCCAAAAATATTTTGTAATAGTTTAACAAGCATAATACTTTGAATGTATCGTGTTGTAAACAGAAGGATATCGCATATCGTTCAGCTTAAATTATGCAATTGGCGATAATAAATGTTTCGTTACGACTCGTGCGCCTGATGGTAGGGCAACCCGTGTTACTTCTATGGAAAAAGATAAGCATGGCGGAGGCGTCAGGAGTTAAATTTTGCAGGAATGTTTTTTCATGTATTTGTAAGATATTCGCTGGGGTGCGTAACATAGATTTTAAAAATCGTGAAAATAAAGATCACCCTAGCGCAGGTGCGTTTAAAATAAGTGCATGAACAACGCAAACAGAGAAACGAGAATCTCTATAAATATAGTAGCGAGGGTGTTCTCAAATAAAACTCCATTTCCAACTTCAATCGTCTATTTATATTTCTGAATTTCTACTGACATCCGATCGTACATGACACTCGCACGTGGGAGCGGCGCAACTAAGTTTCGAAAATTTAAAAATAACTTCTATCACCGAGGAGGAAACGGATATACGTATAGAAGTGAACAAGAAATTCCGTGCACACTTTGCACGGCCAACGGTATTTAATGTTTGTGTATATAGTCCACGATGCACGCGACGCGTGCTCGTTACGCGGTTTTGTAATTGATAATCGTGTGGTTACAGTCGTTTTTCGCGCGTGATGATTTCCTTTTTTTTTTTTTTCTGCGTTTCCTTCCGTTTATCACTCCCGTTTTCTCTGTTGATGTCTCCCATTTGATAGTAACGATCGTCAACGGATCTTTTATTACCTTAATGCCGACATTTTGGTCAATTTGTTTGTTTTTTTTTTTCTTTTTTATATTAATCGGAAGTAAATGCACAATGTTTCGTTCACTCTTTACGCATTCGTTCGTATTTTAACACTCACGCGGGCGTATACATCTCCCATTCATAAATTGTTATTTCAGGCTTGTTATCTCTTATTGGGACAATCGTAAATTACAGGGTGACTTCCATCGTTCTCGGTTGTTCATCTCTGATCGGAGAAACGCTAACGCAAAAGAATGTATCCCAAGTAAACTCGAACGAACCGCTGGTTAGTTTAGACGACGATTATTACATTTATTGGCATGCGTTAATTTCGTATTTGTTCGCTGTGTCTCGTTTGTTCAATAATATTTTCGTCGAAAGAAACGAATGCTCGGTCTGATCGCACGGTACATTTCTCAACAACCCTGTACACAGTTTCCGTACATATCCATACTATTCGTTACGTTTATTTATCATTTATATTTATATTATATATTCATATTTACAAAAACGCTGTTCGCTAAATGTCAATATTCAATATCGCAATTGTTACTACGTTATAACTTTATTCCTGAGTGACCATTCATTTAGAGACCTCGTTCTTGTTCCTTTTATTTCGTCGGATAGTTTGTCTCGTGTTAAGAATCGCGACAATTACGAGAGCAGGTTTAGCGGTGGAAATAAGCCGGTTCGCAATGAATCATTCTGGTATTCGCCGGAAGTTGTTGGTGTAAACATTCCATTGGTTCTTCGACGGATTTAAAATTGTCAATTTTTTTCATTTGAATTTTGTATCGATATATCGATTAGTGTCATTCCGCGTATCGGTCCCCCCGGTTTCATCAAAGATGCACCCTAAAAAATGCAATTACAGTCACGGTATCTCTGAAACTACAATGGCACATGAGATATCGAAAGGCTTACGATATCGAGTTGGTTCGTAAATTGTTCGTCAGCAATTTCAATGCCGCGTTTCAGATTACTTTTATATTATGAAATATGTCGACACGGAGTGAGGGGTTGGTAAATTAATTAAAACGAGAATAGAAAAAAAAGAAGGATATGTTTACAGGCAAATGAACGAGATTATGAACAACTGAATATTAAAATTGGCACGTTTCGAATAAAATAAAGGGATTACAATAATCAAGTTGTTAATGTTCACGTATCACGGACATTTAGATAGCGTAGAACTTTACATATAACACTGTTGTGATTATTAAACGATACAAAGAAACGGCTGTGTAGCAATAAATATTGAACGTATCCATTGTAAAATAACGTGTACTAATTACATACAAGTCGATCAACTCGCACGTTGCTCGGAGATTATCGTTGTCCACAGCATTCTCTCAGGGTTATAATTAAAATTACGTCGACATACATGTACGTACACAAATCACGCTTACAAAGCACTTAATTGACTTTCCGTAATAAGCAATTTTCTTCAAGCAAACCGGATGTACGTGGATCTGTAATGCGGAGTCATCGAAATGCGACGTTAATGTTTGATTTGGATTTCAACGGACGAAGAAATCGAGATTAATTGTGTCTAATTGTGTTCGTGGAAATATACGTAATATAATGGCTCGTAGAAGTGTAACGTCAGTTTCACATTTTTTCCTAATTCGTATACTTTAGAATTTTTGTTTAAAATTAGAGTAATTATTCGTTAAGAGCTTGTTGGTTCTCAACGTGGAACAAGTATTTTCAAATAGAAATTCAAAGAGAATCGAAAGGTAGCAGTTGAATACTGTTAACTGCTTAAAATTTCCAGTGCATTCTGCAATGCTCTCCAAGTAAACAATTGAAACTATACTCTGATGACTTTTATACGAATTTTAAAAATTGTTTCGGATAGCTTGTTACGGAAAGTGAACAAGATCCTTCATATAATAATATACCTAATAATTGTATAAGTAAGGCTGATTAAACAGACTTCTTTTCCATTCGAATCCGATTGAATGTTCTCTCCCCATCTTATTATAATCACAAACGACACTCTCGGATTGTAACCATACACGATTAAAGTGGATTACTACGGCGTTACGAATTACAAAAAAAAAAAAAAAAAAAAAAAAAGAAATTGATTTACGACGAATACAATCTCGCGTAGAACTTCGATAAAATGGAGAGAGAATTTAGTGGCCCAGTGTTTGTTCAATTAATGCTTCCGCGATGTGTATAGGACTAGGTATTCTCAATGATTACAAAGTTCTTTTTAGTCGTAGAACGTGGCAGTAGAGTAGTATTCTCGATACCTCGGCGCAATGACGAAGTAACTTGATCAATTCTACCCTATTAAAACTACGTGAACGCTATAGTTAAGACGAAATTAACTCGCCGCCTACGTCACATGCTACGAATCGCGCGACATATGTCTCTTATTTTCAACTCGCTTTAGACGCTAAATGAAACTACCATCTTTTTTTGGAAATAATCACGCATAAAATACAAGATAATAAAAAAAACCACACGCACAGATAATATTACTCGATCGTGATGTAAATGATAGTGATTAGAAAAGTTTCCGCGAAAAGATCGCTGAAAAATAGAAAGAAATCACCAAGGGAGAATTACTCGGACGATTAGAAATTCAAAAGTAGATTCATTCATCGGCACCACTGTAAATGACAACGATTAGAAAGGTTCCTGCGAAAAGATCGTCGCGTTCAAGTTACCACGTCGTTGTTTCGAGGCAAAGTAGTTACCGGATAATGGTACACCTTAACGATTACTCCCTTAAATTGTACGTTGTATCGTTGATAATGTCTATCGCCCTGAATATTATACAGATGACGTGAGTCTAGCCTCCGCAAGAAACATACCCCCGGTGGCAGTTATCGGTGCTAATTAATTACGCGTTTCTATGCTCCGCTTCCCCTCCACCCCCTCATCCGTCCCTATCGTTGCCGAAAGGCTACATTTTCCATTCAATAAAACGGATCTTCGTCTGTCCAAGCGATAATCGTGTGCGGCACGCTTACAAAGTGGAAAGGTGAACATTAAAAAAATTGTACTTAACCGTTAAAATCTATTCGATGATTTATAAATACTAAAAAAATCGCTATCCATATTAAAAATTGCTTCGTACTTTTGTATTTCGAAGGATCTATATTCCGTCTTTTCCCTTCGTTTTCTCCTATGATATACAAAAAACGACGCCTCGCTCGTAACGGAACGTTGCTCGACGAGTCACAACCATTGCGCCCGATATTATTGTTCGAACGGCTGAACGGTTGAAAAGACGTAATTAGAATTGCGAGTATCTGAATGTTTCGTTAGCTAACTCGTTATTCATAGAAATAGTATCGGACGTGAAGAGCTACGGATAACGACGAAGGAAACTCAAATACGATCTAAATGCCTGCATATCTTTTTTTTTTTTTTTGTTTTTTATTTAAGACACATCGTTAAGAATCTCTGGAATTTCGTGTATCGAAGAACGACTTTTCTAATACTTTTCTAATGGCCGCGTTCGACTTTGGAAATAAGTCTCGCGCAAAGTTAATTATAGCTGTCGCCTAAAATTATTTTGCGAGATTAAACGGATTTCAATTTTTAAAACGAGAAATTGCGCGTCTTTAAGCAAAAAGTTGAAAAAATAAAAAGAATACGAAACTGTCTAAAGAGTCTAATTTTTAGTTCTTTCTCCAAAATCCGTAGCTTTTTTAATAATGAACGTTTCGGATCAAAATTTTTTTACATTACGGATCATACGGAACCCTACGAAAAAACATACCGAAAGTAGTTCTCTAAAGTGGATATCCAAGTGGTAAAAAATAAAAGAATGAATTGAGAATCTCGAAAACTTTTGACGGCAGAATGGTTCAAATTCCTGAGACTTGCATTTCGAGTACGGGCCTTATTTACTATATTACAGGGTGAATATCCGTGCAGTTGGTCATCTAGATATCGTTCTAGTCATCGCGTTTCCAAACGTTTGTCTTCGTTGCGACAGGAAACGTTGAATTCGCTGTCGGGACAAGTACGCTCGCGAAATCTATAAACGCAACTGTAAATGAACATTCAGATAGTTGACCGCGACATCGCCGCCGGTGCTGTTTTGAAACGCGGGATGGGAAGTGACGTGGCGAGCGAAAGGTTCCGGCGCCGATTACGAAGTTTCCGCGGGAGGTAGAAGGGTGGATGCGATCCCGTTTTGATTTTTCGTGTTTGGAGAAATTCGGTCCCGTCGAGGCCTTCGAGGAGAGATGATCTCTTGGCACGAGGACGAGGAATTGTACAGCCCTTCGATTCGCTTACGTTTCGTGAAATCGATGACGCGTATCGTTGCGAACGCTTCGCTTGGTTCGACGAACAAGTGTTCACGCTCGTGGTTTTTACATGCCTCTGTGGCTATTGGAATCTCGTTGCGGAAGATGTGCGTACGGTGGATCATTTAACCCTTTGCACTCCAGAGGTGACTTTCACCACCGGATTTCACGCAGTAAATCAACCAGCACTAATGTTTGTTCAAGTTTCGTTTCTTTAGAACTCAAAGTTTTATAAATAAAATAATTGTGGAAGGAGTAAAGGTGACCTGATTCTCAAATTAGTTTGCGATCACAAATCGGGCTATATCTTTAAAGTCAATCTAAGCTTAGCATTCGTGGCAATAAAATGCTGCGAAAGCATCACGAGTTGCTGGTAGATGCCACAAAAAAGGGCCTCGAGCGCAAAGGGTTAAATCACTTTCTGAATTAAGTTTCGTCACTCTTCTTTCATTAGAACTTATTTTCCCAAGATAGGTTCATTTTTAATCATTCGAAATCAGTGAATCGTACGTAAAGGAAAGTGATTTTGTAAATTTGGTAAATTTTGTTAATCTTTCCTTGACTATATTATTTGATTAAGTATACCGAAATTTTCTGCACTATTCTCATGTTCCGTGCATGAAAGCAGTGGTTGAGGGATAATGACCGGAAGTGAGAACGGAAATCGAAAGCGGTAATGAAGATTGTGGCTTTAGTTGGTCCCGAACATGAGTAGTTATACCATGGATTTGTGTATAAATCTTAATTGCTTCACAACGAAGCATTTAAAACGTGCAATCAATTTAAACAAATACATACGAGCGAGTTTTCTATTGCTACGATTAATTTTGTTTAGATAAATGTATACGACAAACTGATTACTGTTCGGATTTACGAGAATCGATAATTAATCTGTATATTAGAAATGAATATGATTTCTGCACAAATCCATTCTAAAAGTCGCGCGTGGAATCGTGTCGATCGTTGCATCACGGATCTCAGCTCGTGGCAACATTGCGCGTGTCGAATGTAAAGTAACTTCTCTCTCTCTCTCTCTCTCTCTCTCTCTCTCTCTCTCTCTCTCTCCTTCTCATTCTCTCACATAGCATTTAAACTATTACGAGTTACCTATTAATCTATACGGTTCTAGGAAATAAGGTTTTTTGGCAGTTTATTTACATGCGAGTCGAGCTACGGCGCCGCATATATCGTATGATACAAATTTCGATGTCAAACAACCCGCGAAACACGTTCGAAAATGTCACGCGTCGTATGTAATGTAACGCGATAACAGTTTCGAAAATATTTCGTTTCGAATGAAGAGTATCGTCCTTGACTTTCGGTAAATAGACCCACCAAATAATTTTTACAAATTTTAGGTTTTAAACGGAGTCAGTGCACTGCGGATTATCACTATCGCTATTTTTTTAAATGTTTCGAATTCCCGTGCGGGAAATTTAAGCCTGTTTTATTTAGTTGAATATTATTTCACTTTTAATTTATAATTTCATCGATTTATACGTTTTGTCGAAATTGAAATATCAGTAAAAGATACTAAAATTTTGAATAGAAATTCCGTATCACTTCATCGTAGAAGATTTGTGTAAAAAAGCGACGACAAGTTTTGTTGTCGTTCTCTTGAAGAAATGTTCGGCTGAATTTATTAGTCTTACTATGCATATTCGTGTAATTTTAATATGATATCATTATCGCGCCTTTCAGCGGCGTATTCGATAGCTCGACACTAATTCACGGACTGTAAACTTGTCAAAGTTAAATGTTATCGAGAATAGTATAGACTGTATATACTATTCCGTATCATAACGTTTAGATCGAATTCAATAATAAAATAAAAGGATAGCAATTATAATAACTAATCATGGAATATAATACATAATATATTATATACAATAGAATATAAAATGGTCTAGAGGTATAGCGTCGACACTACCAGCACAAATAGTGTAATAACACGTAGAACGATATCGTAATCGACGTATCAACAATAAACCTATCCTTCGACCAGTACTAATCTCAACAAGACAATATTCTCCACGGATCAACACACTCCGTAGTTGAACCGCAGTTATTTCGAGACCACGTGTTTATTTACAGAAACAGTACGATCATGTAATTGAGATATCTCGCGCTCTTAGTTCCATTAATCTTTGTACCCCCGTTGTCTTCGTCGTTCTCACTGGCAGTGTCTCCCTTTGCCTCGACGATGGTGTCTAGCCGTTCCATCGTGCTCCTCTGATGATGATGGCTGCTGGACAAGTCACTTTCGGGTGCCTCGTCCGAGTCCACGTCGATCATGTGATCGTTAACTTGAATTTTCACCACGGCGTCCACCGGATACTTCCCCTCGTCGCTGGATGACGTTCCAACCCTTTGGGACCTTCCTGATAGCCTGCTGGACATCATCCTCTCGTTCGTCTCGCAACGAGGGCAGCTCTGACCGTTCGACGAGGCCTCGTCGCTCTGGCATCGGAAACATATCAGATCACCCTCGCTGGAGAAGTCGCAGTGCTCGCATTGGACGACGTGACCGTTCCCGTGACAGAGATCGCAGACGGGACTGTCATCGTCCTGCTCCAAATCCCTGTTCGCGTAGTGCTCTTGATCGTGTTCTTGCTTGTGTTTCTTCGTCCAGCCTCTTCGAGCTGGATAGTCTTGATCGCGGTACGGCGACCTCGGCGAAGAACTTTGACCACCGAAGTCTTGATCGTGACGCAGAGATCGCGGAGAGGACACGTGAACAGGACTTTTGTACGGGCGGGAGCTTCCTGGATCGTGGAGCCGATCGTCGAAACGCTCCTCGACGTACCTGCACTCGGAGCCGGCCGCTTGCGGCTTGTATGTACAGGTTCTGGATTTTTGATCGCATTCGCCGCAGAGTAACAAGTTCGATTTGCTGCCGGGCTGCGAGTCGTAACCATTACAGGTGCCGTAATATTTTTCGTCCTCGTCGCTCTCGAAGAAATGTTGACTGAGACTACCGATCGACTTTGTGTCGCTAGATCTCCCGGATATTCTGGCTCCCTCGGGATCTTCTTGATCGTTCGCGGTGTACCTGTAAAGAAATTTCTTTGCGTTTATCAAGAAATCGTGGGATATCGGAGCGATCTGTTGGAATGTTTAATATAACTCGACCTTTTATTTTACTACAAAAGTAAAGAGAAGTATTCGTACAGCAACCAATTTAAAATAAAGTTGACAAGAAAAGAAATAAAAGGTTAACATTGAAGGTAACGAACTTTAATTTTATTCCTTCCTCTGAAACTTATTAATAAAATAAATATACGAAGTTTTATTTTGGATTGATTCCTGTACGAATAGTTATTACAGCGGATGTATCTGCCACTGCAGAGGGGAAGAATCTCTACTTTTTAGAGTCTAAATAGATGTGTAAAAACTGCAGTGTATACAGCTAGAAATTTATTCTACGGGCCTTAAAAATCCTAGATACGACCCTGCATGTATTAATTAACAGCGCACGAGAACAATGAATATGTACGACCATTGAAATATCGAGTGAAACGCGTAAGAGTGCTATCTACGGCATCTAAAATTACTTAAAAGGTTTTGAAAGAGTGTTGTCTATCGGCAGGCGCGCCATTTAGGCGGGAAGAGACGCCCGCGGCTGTTTTTTTAACGTGATCGTTGCTACACCGTTACTGCACGGCCCTGAGGGCGGCGCGTATTCAGTTTCCTGGCGTGCTATTAATGCTTGTGAATTTAATGTACACTGTAACACCCGATTTAAGCAGTATTTTTCTTTTCTACGGTGTTCAAAATAATTGATTATCACGAATAGATCTTTGAGACCATTAACACGTCGATGTTTTTCTTAGTTTTAATTATCGCATTTCTAAAATCTTTGGAGACCAGCCGAATCCGATATCCAATTGTCGCACGTCGATTTCGATAAAATTTATGTGGTAGGTAATTCTTAAAAAAATATTTGATTAAAAAAAGTTCTGAACAATTTTTAGAAACGGTGCCCGAGTACGTGAAACATTGGCGACAGGTGGAGTGCGTCCTTGACAGGAAATTCGTTGACAACTCGTTAATAACAATTAAAATCGTAACGAAAACGGTCCTTGAATGTTGCAAAGGATCTAAACTACCTTCCACGAGTGTCAGAGTGCAGGATTTATATGCCGAATATCGATTAATTAACGATAATTGCGATGACAGATGGTGTAGTCAGAACTACTTTGGAACTACGGTTGTCTTAAGTTGTTTACAACTATTTAAATAGTGCATAACGATTCAATCCATTTACAGGAGAAGATTCCTAGAAGCCTAAGCTTTAATTTGAGTATGTAAAAGTTCACGGATTATTTGTAAATAACCGATAAACAAACGATAAACAAATGAGTGTGCTCTGCGCATGCGCCCTGCTGTTTCCAGCGTCGGTGCTCTCTATCCTTCTCGCACAGTACATCTTTCTCTCTCGCACAGTTTCAAGCGTAGACCTCCACTAGCGTTCTGTTATCCTATTACTCACCCGGAGCTTCCCTGATCCAACCGCTAGATGGCGCCACCAGCGCAAAATTTAAATTTCGCCTTACTAATCATCGAAAAACGCTTATAACTGTTTAATTTCAATCGAAATCGTATCAATACCTGCTCTCGAATGTTGCTAATGATCTATACTATCTTCCACGAGTACCAATGTTCATTATTTATATGCAAAATGTTAAGAAACAATAGAATAAAGCGAATATTTCTAACGATGTACCGTGTAGTCAAGACTGAAATCTTTAATGACGATCGTTTAATAAAAATCGAGATCGTAACAGAAATTTTTCTGTAATGTCACAACGATCTATACTAACCTATACGAGTCGTAAAAGTTAATAATTCGTTTATAGAATGTGACAAACAATCGAGCGAAGCGAACATTCTCACTGAAATCATTGCTGATTGCATAATAACTATAAAAATCGTGACAAGAATGATCCTTGAGAGTTACTATCGTTCTATGTACTACTATACTACTATTTACCATCACTGGGAAAACCCTTTAGGGGCTGTTTTCACCCCTTCAATATGGACCATTACCGATAAAAAAAAGAAAATACGTGTCAAATATTTGTTTGAGATCTACCTACCACATAAATTTAATCAAAATTGGCGTGCGACAATTGGATATGTTCCCTTTGTCAGTCTAAGTCGTACACCCTACCTGTAGTCGGTGACGTCCGCCAAGTAGTGTCGTATCCGCCCCATTTTCGCTTTGCCGCGCTCTCGCGGCCTTGTTTCTTGTTAAATGATACTTTCTCGATTTCTCTCGTTATTGTCCTCCACGCTCGAGGTCGAGCTGGCACCGCAGATCTGCATCTCAATTTCCGCTAATCGGTGCTCCACTTCCCATTGCTGTTGATTCAATTTGACGCTCATTGTCGCGTTTTCAGTTTCCAGGCAAACCAACCGTTCGCGAAGACGTTTAATCTCTGCCAGCAATGCTTCGTGGGTATCCAACAGTGGCGTCGCACCTTCGCTGACTAATTGTGTCATACTGTTACAGGTCATACCTAGAAAGAATCATACGTATTAGTATAAAATTAATTCTCTACCTTTTACATACAGTCGTCTATGAATGTAGCTCGTGTATAAATATTTATTAATTTTCGAAGTCTTCAACATGATTTCTATTGTAACGAGTCATACATGATAATGAATAAATAAGTCTAAACCTGATGGACGTTACAATGTATCGAATTTTGATATTGATCTTCTAACAGGTTACATGCTTACTCGTCAGCAGAATTATTAATTAAAAGTACCTCTTACAATATTTAAAAAATGAAGCTTTCATACAATTTGAAATTAGAACATTATTATGAATTTACCATCGTATACATAATCGTGACATATTATTTTAGGTCCGTCCTCAGAGAGCATTTTATTTTACTTGGGCCACATGAGATGCTTCGCCGGTTCGAAAATTCGATTAACAAAGATATCAAAGACGTGAAGCCCCAGAGGAAAACACGAGGTCCTTGGAGAATCGTTTGTTCACCTAAAACGAAATACTTGCCGGACTGGGTGGACTGTCTGGCAGTGGAGGTTTGCGTAGCAGCGGAGTGCGGTGCCCTGGCGGTTTGATCCTCGCTGCTGTGGCCGCTGCTCGTGGCGCTCATCGGACTATCCATGCTCCTCGCGACGTTGTTCGTGTTGACGTTGCTACCAGTGTTGGCTAAGCCGCGCAGTATCACCGGACTCGGACTGGGGGAGAACAACGAGTGCCCTGTCGAGTACGCGTGGGTAGATTTTGTGTCTACGGGTGACACCCACATATCCTCCAGCGATATGCGTCCTTTCGACTCGACGAGTCCTGGCGTGCTCTGGCATCGTCCCATTGCCGCTGAAAATTCATTTCGTACATATAGGTTTTAGCCCTGTGCAGTCGAGAGGTGACTCTCGGTCACCACTAGCTTTTCTTTAGGTTTAATTTTTTTGGAAATCGAAGTGCCAATAAAATGATTATCGTTGAGGCAAAGGTGAGCTTATTCTAAAATCTAAATATCTTAGAATTCGTGGCAATAGAATGCTAAGAAACATCTCTAGTTGCTGGTAGATACCAGAAAAAAAGGGCTCGAATGCAAAGCTGTATGTTTCAGCATGTAAGCTGAAAGTTACGTGAGTCCATAGAGGGTGAACATCCACCTTTATTAATTTATAACTTCGACGCTTCTTCAAAATTTCTCTATAACTCAGCTACTTCTACCTTCGTCTTCGACTTCTTTGTTTCGAGAGTTATCCTCGGGCGCCTCTGGCAACCACGTCTAACCGTCTCTCATTTCCAGTAGCGAGCTTCTTTAATTAAGCCACCGCGCCTTTCTCATCGCGCAGCTACCGCAGTCGAGTGCGTGCATGTGCTTTCGATAGGTATGCACGCGGTTAGGTCGGGCAACTTCGCTTCCGAGTACACACCATAGGATTCGCTGGTTCGAAAGTTCGCTCGCAATAGCGGTGAACTTTCTTTCGCCCGAAAAAAAGAAGGGGAAAGACGAGGGCGGACGAGCCGGCATTTGTTTTGTCCCGAACTTCCGGATTAATTAATTAGAACTCCGGCGCCCGACGGTGCTTGTTGCCGACACACTGCGGGGAAATATTCTTTAGGGGAGTCCTTTGACGTCCTCGCCCATTGTCTCGTAACTATTCGCAAACAAAAGACCTTAAGCTCGAGGTACTCCCTCCTTCCGACATAATTTAACGCCCCCATGTATAATGGATAGTTGATGCCGCAAAGGTTAACAACAGGGGATGCTTATGCGACGGTAGACTTCAGTTTGTAACGCGGAGAAAAGTTACGAGACACGGAAGCTTTGAGTTAAATTAACTGAAATTCTAACTGGCCGACAAGGATGAAACCTATCGCGATCGAGTGCCAATAATTAATTTTAAAGGTTAAACGATGTAACAGACCCGGGTAAATTTTAATTGCAATTTCGTGTCATTCGAAAATAAATATGATGTGAATTATATATATATATATATTAATTCTTTCGTCAAAGAAATAAGAAATGGCTAAATAATTCTCAAAATAATATACAATGAAAAGAATTTATTAACGTAACAAATTGACATGAAAATCAGTTGGGTTTCTTTGTTAGCTAACAGGAATGTTTCGAAAAGAACAATTCCCGAGTAATTATGGCTCGAGCCAATATTAATAAATCCCTACCTTTCTCGAGCGGTGCCCGTTTGTACTTTTCCAGTCTTTTCACCGCGATGGCCTCGAGGCGGATCCTGGCCGCAGGATATTCCTTCAGCACGTCCCACATGTCCTTCTTGCTGAGCACGAACAGGTCCGAGTAGCCCACCGAGCGCACGCTGGCTGTTCGTCGGTTACCTGCGACGATGTAGCCATTTATTGGTTATCAGGGTGCATCAAGCTTTCTTTTGTATCCGGACGGAATCGATCCATCGATCGTTCCTCGATACCACAGATTTACATCCGCGGTGTGGGCCTACCTTTAATGTCCATGTGCGATACGCCCGTTTATTCCGTGTTTGACACTTTCGATGCTACGCATTCGTAGCGGTTTTTCGTTTTATTTCAGACTAACAATTTAGCAAGAAATCGAAATTCCACCAAACCAAAATCATTACAAGAAAACGGGATTGAACATTCTCGCGATACTCGAGGTATTGATAGCAACAAGGAGTTCCATTTACACAGTTTATCTTCAGATCTATAGCTCCTCTGATTTTCTAGATTACACTTTCAATTATATTTTTGTATAATAATTTATAAAATGTTTAATTTGTGAACATTCATCTTGACTTTAATCTGGGTATTTCATTCATGTCAAATTAATTCTTCGACATTTAATAAATCCGTTCATTTCGTTTTTAATTATCATCTCGTAAGTATATATTATTTTAAATGAGTGTCCAGAAATTTAAATTTTAATTATATCCTTAACACGCATGCGCAGCATCGAACGTGTCAGAGTACAACCTTGGCTCATTCGCGGCAAAAATCATGCTTAACGAACTCTTATTACAGATTGATAAATAAATGTGAGAACGTATTAGTCGTGTTAGTGCAATCAAATAGAATTAGTTTTCAGTGACAAGGATACGAATATCAAATTTGTAAAAGAGCAAAAATTCAGATCTCTCTAGGATTATTTCTATTATACTTTCCTGTGCGTTTTTAAAACAGTCTCGGGCTTTCAAAAGTAAATCGTTGTGGAGACTTAACCAACACCAAATTGCATCGTATACACGATATATGCAGGATAAATATAAACGATGATATAACTATACACAACAATATTTTAGTTGCGTTGTAACATGCGAAATGTCCATTTTGCCTGACTACAATATTTATGCGCGCAATGTATTTTTATATCAACTAAAATATCACAAACTTTTTCGTCGATACAATAACGAAAGAGACTTGAATCATCTCTCGTGACAAAGATTGAATAATATTAGCCCAACAATCTACCGCATGATGAACGAATGCAGAATCACCTCAGATTTATCTTTGAAGGACTATTAACTTTTTGGTTGCAATATTAAGTCCGCTCTACCCAATGAAAATTAAATGGCTGCGGTACTTCGACTGCGCTCTTAATTAAAAACTTGTATGAAAGAGCTAACGAGATATAAACTATCTCTATTATATAAATTGAGGTTCAATTTTGGGTTAAAATGCTTAAATAAAATTGGAGGGACGTGAGGATACTGTAGAACTTACCCAAAAGAATCTAAAGAGAATCTCTAAGAAATCTAAAAAGAGAATTTAAGATTCTTAATATTCAGGACACTGCAGTCTCATGTAAATGGAATTAAGGGGTAGAGCACTATAAAAGGTATGAAAAAGTTAATATATTGTAGGAAGCAAAAAAATTTTGTACGACGTCAAACGGACTATCTTAACTTAAAACCACAGGGAACAAGTTTTTTTTTTTTATCAATTTTCTGTAGATTTTTTGTTAAATTGTTGAAAGCAATCTAAAGCATCAGATTGCTCATAAACTAAATAAAATTCTTTTCATCGTAAATTGAACATTTCACATATTACAAATTCTACCCCTAAACTTATTTTGGAAATGTACATCATTTGAATCGAATCTACTGACACTTAGAGTAAACTGTATAACTGTATACGTCATAAATTAGAATTTTTTGAATGGATTTCTCGTATTAATTTTCTATAACATGTTTTTAACAAGCATTCCATATAATAAAATCCAATAACCTACGAATAATGATCTACCACATCAAATTCACTGTTGCCATTGTTGTTTCCAATCGTTATCGAATACTTTCACATAAAATCATCATGCAACTTATCTTCGGCAAAAATTCTTATCAAATACAGAATCGATACAGAATCAAATACACTGTTAGGGTATTTACACGTGAAAGAACATCGAGTACAAGTAGTAACTTTTATCATTGTGGTACGTTCGTTCGATTCAATTTTATTTTTATTTTACCAAACACGTCCGGTAGTCTTAAAAAATTACAAAATATGCGTGCTGGAAAATGGAAAATTCGACTTTTTGTGTAGACATGTATTTATTTTGTGAAATTAATCAGGATGATCGAATACAAACAGAATAAAATGTGTATTCGGGTAAATGCATATTAAGGCTTGCAACATAAAAGAACTTCATATTTAACATTCGTGCACATGGAAAGATATACAACCTCAGCAATGGTAAACTCGATTTCCAATTACTGGCACAAATGTTAATGAATTTATGTTCCCATACGAAATGCATACAATGACACACGTTATAAAGTTCTGTTTATTTATATGGAAATTTGATTAACGTAATGCAAATGGTCAATCGTTGCTATACGAAATGCAAATTGCGTATTGGTCTTAATTTAATTCGAATTAAATTAATTTAGTTTTTATTTCACCTGATCTCATTAATATTTTGATGGTTGCAGATAATTTAATAGCATTAAAAATACAGAATGATATTCATATAACGTGAAAGACAATCGGCAAAAAAATGATCTCATTGGCACCCAATTACGATTTTGTTTTTATTTAATTTAATGAATTGTTCCTTGAAAATTTCCTTGTACGTTCGTTCAAGTTTTTTATGTTGCGTACTTGGCAGAAATTCCAAAACTTAATCATAAAAAAGGCTCGAAGCGATTAATAATATGTCGCAAACGCAGTGTCAATGTTGCACGGTCATTCCCATGACATTACTGAAATTCATTGATAATGGGTGTGTTGTGAAGCTGTTTTCGTGAAAGGCAGTCATTTTATGTAAAGTAGCTAATTTTTAATCAATCATACCAGACAAGATTTTAGAAGAATTTATCGATATTAATGGAAATTTTGTTAATTATTTACTAATAGCAGACCTGGACAATTTTGAAATGACCACAGATAAAAAATCTCTCGTGGACGAATTATTCAAAGAAAGAATTTTGCTCGAAGCAAATTTCTATAAATATATTTTTAAAAAAATTCTTTTTCGTAATTTGAATGAGCTATTATATCAATTAAATTAATATTACTTTTATCTTCAAATATCCGTGTTGAATATAATTCTTGTTTTCATTTTAATTAAAATTTGCCCAGGTCCTACTAATACAAATAATACTTTGAATAATGACTCGATTATAAAATTGTATTTTATATTTTATATGATTCGAAAGATTAGATTAAATCGCACATGTTGACTACCCTTCGAGGTTAAACACGTTGGCGAAATATTTGTCGTATGGCAGGAATCGTCTATCATACAGAAAACTAACTACGATAGCCAATGTATAGACGTGTAAAACAATAGTATTTGAATGCAGATTTATTATAATCCGCCAACTGTGCGCGCATTGCAGCAGTAAGTTGCAATTATTATTCAGAGGCTACGTTAAGAAATGGTAATGAAAAAATGTGAGAAATATAGTAGGTACATGAACAGTGCACTGAGTAACGATATTCTCATATAGAAATTAAATTAAATCTAGGAAACATATTTGTTGATTTCCGTGTCCATATTTGTTGGGAATTCTAAAGTATGCAGTTGGTTTGAAAAGAATATTCGAACGCCTACAAACAAGAATTTTAATATGTATTCCATACAGTATTAGTGGCAAGCATTCGAATATTTTCTTAGCCAACTGGAGATTGTTTATTAGTATGATTAATTTATCAGCTATTTCATTATCGGAGAACCAATCAGTTGGCTCTGATTACATGGATAAAATTCGCATTTTGATAATGAGTTTCAGTCTCCAAGTGATGACTGACGATATTGGTCAGACGCGACTCTAAAGAAGTTCTCTATTCGTACGAATCGTTTGCAAACAATTTGAAGATGTTTCCTTCGATTTATCATGAACAAAAAATGAAGAGAAAATGTAAGTTTCAGCATGTCATAGAAGCATGGAGTGCCAAAGGAAATTAATGTCAAAGAATGCTAGAAGAGCGCGCCCTACTTTCAAATGGTAAATTCCAAGCTAGGTCTTCTAATGTAACTACGTAAGCATGATAAAATTAGAAATGGCAAAAAGTATGTTTTTTTTTTCATTTTAAATCGATCAACCGACACGACCTACAATCGGTGCACCCGGAGGGGTTGTTTTTTATTATTTTCGGGAATATTTATATTATTGCCCTGAAAAAAACCGCGTTGGAGTCGCGATATGAAACATGATTTATCTACGGGCGGTATCTATTACGTTTCAGTAGGTCGTGTCGGTTCGTCAGCTGGAGGACAACAATCGATAAAAACAGAGGGGCGAAGGCTAAAGGGCAATACGTGTCACGGGCCGTATTCGAAACGCATCGACGATCTCGCAACGATTTCAACGATTTTTCTTCGATTCAGTTGCAGATATTGTAAACCGGTTCCTTTCTTCGGTCATGTTTTCAAAACAAATTGCAATAAGAAATCTTACGCGATACGATAAGCAATATTTCATAAAAATTCAATCAACGCTATTAAACTATTACGATGCACCGTAACAATTTTATATAAAATTTTCTTTATTTATGCACACGAACTTACGATACGATGAAATTTACAAGGTTTGCTTTACTAGATTTGTACGATAAATGCATAAAATTCGCATTTTAATAAGTTTCAGTCTCTAAGTGATAACTGACGATATTGGTCAGACACGGGTCTAAGAAGTGACCGACTGAAAAACGGTCGGTTCTCGATGGTTGAAAAAAGAGAAAATCTCAATGGTTCGCTGAATGAGTTCCGGATGCATAAAGGAAGAGTCGCAGTGAAATACGCTGTAGTAAATATTTAACGGTTTGGAAAGACGAATAATAGCTGGGGTGTTGGAAAGACGGAGCGATTGTGTCTACAGTAAAATGGGGAGAGGGATGAATATGAACGATTATGGGAGGGTTGGTGTTCACGTTATATAAAGCGTGTACACGCATAGTTGCAAAGAAGTTGGAGGAGTACATACGGGATAAAAGAATGGTGGCAGAAAATCAGCCGGCTTTAGGAGGAAAAGAAGGGTGGTGGACAATGGCTGTGTATTGAATTACCTAGTAGAGGGGGAAATTGAGGCAAGAAGAGAAGAAGTGGTCATTTTCTTTATCGATTTTTGTGTGGTCTTTGACACGGTAGAACGAGCAAGGATGAGAGGGACATTCGGGGGTCGAGGGTTAAGCGAATGGCTGAGCGAAAGGATAATGGAGATGTGCGCGTAAACAAAGGGTTGATTCGAACTGAGCGATCGAGTGGATGAGTGTTTTTAGGCTGAGGGAGATAGGATACAGGATAAATGTTCATCTCATATATTTTCGATAAATTCATAGCAAGTCTAAAAAACTCAGATGACAAACCTGGGCACATTTTAAATATCATGTCAAATAATCTAGTATTTTATGTTATAATTACTTGACATAGTCGTTTGAAATAACTTCAGACTTGACACGACTTTGAACAACAACTCCAAGACTAGTTGAAATATTATTTCAAAAGTTATCGCAGATATGAAAATAATTATGGAACAAGGTAACGCGTTACTTGAAATAATAGTTCAACTAATATCATTCGAGCCATATGGAATATGTACAAGGGAGCTGTAAGGGGTGGCCAGTAGAATTGTATGGCAGGGCGCATGGCGAGGGACGAATCGAACAGGTGGAAAGTAAGAGTGAACGTGACGAGGAGAGCTAGAATGTAGGCGAGGTTGAAAGGGGGTGGAAAACGAGATAGCGAAGTCTTACGGAAGGGAGTTTAAAGGGGATGGTACAGATGAAAGGGTGGAAGGAAAAGGGGAGTTTCTACGAGATGAAGAGAACAGAGTACAGAAAGGGCGAGAGGAAACGAAGGAAACGTACAGTCAGTCCCGGTTAATATTCGTTCCCTCTATGTTGATTGAAGAAATTTGTATCGATTTATTTTCTTTAGTTTCTCATCCTTGGAATGAATTTAACTCTTTAGTTAAAAGAACGATCGCCTCGGTTCGTTGCGTGATCGTCGACCGCGGACAGCAGGTGGAAGTCGACAATGGGAATGTCGGTGACAGAGAGAGTACAAGAGTAAAAAAAAAATATGTTACTAGAAAGAATCGGTCTTAGATCGGCTCATACCGGCTCGACGGCTTGCCCTCTCACAGAGTGGTAAGAACGTGAAACGTGAAAACGTGATCGTGAAATACGAGGGGGACAGCTCACGGGCCCCTGGTCCGCTTGGAATATTTACCGCACTCTTTACCTGCAGTCCCCATATTGAGTATGCTGATCTCCCCGAAGTAGGAACCCGCCTTAAGGGTAGCGAGGACTGTCTTCCCGTTGTCAGCCACAACTTGCAGTCGGCCTCTGTTCACTATGTACATTTCCTTTCCTACCTCACCTGCAACAGGTACACGATACGTTCGTAATAGGTTAGATAGATAATTGTTACTAAACTGCGGATTTTATGCGTTTATGACATAAATTAATATAATGACATAAAAACGGTACTCATGAACAACAGTATCATTGTAATAATCGTGAAATATATTCAACGTACGTTATTTCTATTTTCTTTAATTATTGCAGATGTTTATATAAATGTATAGTTCATAAGCGAATATATAAATATAAATATAAATATAAATATATGGAAAATATCATCGTCATATCGTCATCGTCGCATTAATATCATATCACGTACATATCATACGAACATAAATATCTCGTACGAAATTTTGGCAAATAAGCATAATATACACAAAATATCATCCTTACATCGCCGTATCGTCATACTTTCGTTATTCATATGCAAATGATGACCAATATTTGGCACGTTGGGCAAAGAAATGAACACGAACAGAAAAATAATTTTCCATCGGCCCGGAAACGGATTATGGAAAGTTAGGCGAACGAGAACTGGAGGAGAGAAAGAGTCCGCTGTATTTCTTTCTCCGTCTTCGTCTTCGCCGTGGATAGGGCAGCCGCATTGCTTCTGAAATGCGGCAGTCGTTTCCTACCGCAGTAGATGCTTCTGTTTGATGGCCGACCCTACTCGGATTGCATCACTGCCGTGCAGTTGGCACCGGCCGAGTCCGTCTTATGACTCGCCGTTACTGCTTCACTTACAAACTTCTACTTCCCGTAGCAAAGGTGCAGTCCTTTCCAAGATGCACTCCTGAGCCTGACAATATGTACACTATCGTAGAAATATGATTTCTTGAAATGATGATTTCTTTTTCCAGAAATCGCAAGATGGATGAAATTTCAATTTCCATCTTGGTTATAGTCTGTAGGCATATCTCTGTCCAATGGCACGGTGAAGTATGACGAACGGTGCTCTATGATCTTGGTTATTAAACATTGGTACGACATTTACAGCGCAAAATTCTCATTCGATTCTAGACTGAACCTAGTTACCTAGGAGCAAACATTTTTCCATCGACGCTAAGGCATCGCAGATGTTTATTTCTATCGATTAAGTATTTCGTACGTAACTGTGCCATCTAGATGCGCTATTGGCAATGAGGCCAAGAGGAAAGGAAAGGCAATCACTGTCTAACGGTTTGCCAGGTTGGTGCGTCTTTTGGCGAGGGTCCAGCGGCTCGTTCCAAAATCGTGTTGCGTCGCGTGCAAGAAAAATATCTCGCGACGCGGAAAGAAGAAAAGGGAAGCAAAACGTCGGGCCTACCTTTGCGACAAATGTAGTCGCCAGGTGAGAAGAGAACGGGCCGCAGTCTTAGCACGAGCTCGCACAGGAAGCCAGCCTCCGTGTTCTGAAAAATCTCGACCCTCCTCAACGTGTCCAGGTGCACGTTTATCGCGATTTCAGCTTTTAATTTGTCTGCAACGTTAGAATCAACAAATTATTAGGAACAAAAGCTCGTCAGCTTTATCCCGATATAGTGAAAGGTATTTTTTTTTTCTTGTATAACCGTATTTTAATATCGATTAATAAAATATATCTCTCCTTATTGCTTTTGTTTAATTCTCGCTGTGTTGACCTTGCAAGAGTCATAATAATATCTGATTACTAATCTTAGAAATGTACGAACAATTAAATATGAACAAACGAATGAGTGAGTGAATGATCGAGGTATAGTAACTATAATATATTTAACGAAGTTTTATAAAATCTCACCGGGAAGACAGCTGACAGCCTTCTCCTCGTCCGAACATTTTTGCGTTAACCACAGGTAGTCGAACCACTTGATCACCTTCACTTGCAGATGCTTCGGCACTCTTCTCATTCTCATGTATGTCTTCACGCCATCCAATTTCGCTGAAACAAAGAAAAAGTTATCACGATTAAACTCTCTCTCTCTCTCTCTCTCTCTGGATTTTACTCGTAAGGGAAATACGCGAACTGTAATTCAGGCAAGCTTTACCTGCAGAAAATACCACCCCTGAATATATTCGGGTGAAAATAAATATGATTTATGGTACGTAGAAGCGTTGATTACCGACGGGCAATCCTGCATAAATTTTTGTACAGTGTACGCGAGTTGCTTCAATTTTATTTTCACATATTTGTATTAGGATTAATGTCACAAAAATTAATCACTATATATCAACTTTCAGTCTCAGTGTTACTTTTTCCATTTTTTAATTTTTTGTTGATTACTGAAGGGGTTAAACTAAGTGTAGTTGGAGATGTCCACGTGCACAATAAAATGCCTGGGAGATATCCGCAAGAAAATTCTTTAAAAGATAATATAACTTTGATGCATATGCAGAACTCTATCGAATGAGTAACTAATAAATAAATAAATAAATAAATATAGTAAAAGGACACGACAGTAATGACTACTCCAAATTCTATTCCAATTAATTATCGCTCATATTTAACCCACTTAGCGAAGACCGCACGCCGCTGGTGAACTTAGAAACTACGACCATAAGTCGGTATTCTTCCTCAGCCCGTTATTGATGCACCAAATCCAATTTATGAAGATTCGAACAAGGAAGAGTTACGGAAACGATATTACGGGGAATAACAACAAAAGTTTCAACGCTTGTACGCGAAACATCGTTCCGTAAACGACGTTAAGCGATCCTCTCGTCGTCGGAATCGCGGCTTACCTCGCTACTTACATATTTAACGACAGTTCAAGCTCCAAGCTACACGGTACGCAAACATAAAGCGTTAAAATCGGACAGATCGCTGCAGACTACCGCAACGAAGTTACCAGTACGAAGATATTTGCAGGAGAACTCGGAACGCGAACACTGACAACCAAACTATTCGTATCTTTGCGATTGCTACAAACACGAACTCAATTTTGATTAATCGTAAAAAATACGAATCCGCCAGTTCAGTGATTGCACTCCTTTTATCTCTTAACGATATAAAGATCCTCGGTTCGAAAAACTTTCCCGACAACTGCCACAGAGAACTGCGTTCCATCCACGTTGCTCCTTCGCGTTAATCGAGATTCGAGTAAATTAATTTCCTGGAAAATACAGAACGAACGAGGAATACAGAAACGGAGTTTAGAGAAGCACAAAAGGCGGACGAGCGGTCTTTTGTGTTTTTGCCTTGGAGTGTCGTCCTAAGAAAATATTAAACGAATGGATTAAATCTGATAATTGCGCACGCTCTCGGAGGATCCCTGTTTAGAAGTGGTAGTATTTTATAAAGATCTAGAGAATCTCTTCTTTGTTGTCTAGACGAAAGGATGCCGTGGCAGTCGCACGGAATTACCAGTCTTCTTATCGTTCCACCTTCCCTTACGAATTAGCCCAGCATTCAGTATAATCTGCACTTTTCGAAATGCATTTGTTGTTTCTTTTTGTTTTTCTTTTTTAACACGCTTGGCATTTTAATATTCGTCGTCCTCGCGGAATGAAAATCCTCGAACCGTGAGGACTTAACGACCGATACGTGCTCGGTCGTGCTACGCAGTCTTCGTGGTGTAATTTTACAAATGCCACGCTCGTAAAAACGGGGGTGGCACAGGATTTAAAGAGTATCGAACGTGTGCAAGAGGAGCGCGGTTACCCACCACCCGGTGGTATCGATTCGCGCCAAGTGTCACGTTTCGATATCTCGGACGATTGTGTCGCCTCGCCTCTAATAACTCTATTTCTATTAAGGTGGCACTTCTTTTTTTTTATTTTTGGCCAAGAAATTTTATTTTTATATACTCTTGTTAGTGAATATACTCTTGTTTATTCTGGGAATAACGAACCGGTTACGGCCATGTTTAAACAATTGCCATGTTGCCAGAATCGTTCCGAACGACTCATCAAAATTCAGGATATTAGTTTGAACCTTTCGGAATGAGAATATCGCGGTGCAAAATTTTTATCAAATTTTCAAAATGGCGAAAAAAATCAGCGAGGAGGAAATGCGTTAAAAAAATTTTGTTACTAAACAAATCATAGCTCTGGCAATTTTTAAAATATTTCTATCAAATAACTTATAGTAATTCTAGCTTAAAGTTGCGCTTGGGGTCATTTTGACCCCGCGAAGGGTTAAAGACACGAAATGTTGAAAGTATTTTTATGCCCCTGGAACTGTTTTTAATTTTAAAGAATCATCCTTTCTAATCTTTCGAATCGTCTCATTAAAGACATCTTTAAATGCGAAAACATTTCACGCAGGCTTATTTCACATAAACTTGTAGAAAAGTTTTCTTAGAAATCATGGAAGCCTGCACGCTCGTTCTTGAGTGGCCTGCTTTGTAACAGCATAGCTATCTGTACGAACGAGGAAGTTTGGTTGAATCCGTTCAACTAAATGTAAGTCGGAGGAAATCGAGAGAAACTGTACGCCCGACTGAAACTTGAAACTAACAATAAGTCTTCGTGAACAATCGTTTGAAATGTGTCGAGTGTCTAAGACTGTTTTAAACAGCGACGAATATTCGAATACCGAACAGTACGGAAAGATTGACAGTCTACTGGGTCAATGTAATGAAAACATAATAATAAACATAATAATAAACATAATAAAACATCTACTGCGACGGTGTTGATATTCGTATAAGAAAATGTCAATTTAAACTTTCTTTTGTTCCTACCGCGAACGCATTTTGCCGATATTAATGCACTCGGTACCACTTTAATTTAGAAATTTCAATGATCAACAAACAGGCTACAACTAAATACCGCGCGTCTGTCGAATTGTCATAAAGTAATACAGCTTCCTCGAATTTCTTGCATCGCGGTAATTGTATCTCTATCGTTCTCGCTAACGTTCACTCTCGGCCCCGATGTAAAAGGCAACCGAGCCCGAGACGATAAGAGTGATTAAATTTCACTCACCTGTCTCCCAGGTTGTCATTTGGTAGACGGTGTCGTAATTAGTAGCCCCTCGGAATCGCGAACGAACAATAAATTTCTGGTACGCAATGTTATCTAACCCCTCGCATTAGCCGGACGAATTAATTTACCACTTTCGCAAAATTATGCATTATATACATAGATAAAGCCGCGGAACTTTGCGTGCGAATTATTAATAGCCAGTTAGTTGATTCAAGAGTTACGGGCACGGTAGACTACATTTCGAAGGTACGGACCACTGTAACATTTAAAAAACATAGATTTCTTTTTGTACGGTATTTCTCAAAAGCTCCTTGTTAAAGGAGTTAGCAACGTTGCAGCCGCAATTCTGGGGAAGAGGATTATCCGGTGATGACATCTGCAGCAACCAGCGACATCCAGCAGAAGAATTTTCTATGCCGGAGGAGTCAGCACTTGCAGACGTGGCAAACTCTTTTTCATGACCGTGGTAAAAGGTTTTCAAAAAGAGTCTTTAGGACTTTGGTTCTTAATGATAAATTACGCTTGTCACGGTAGTCGTGGCGGACACTTGAACGACGTTATCTTACATAAGGCCCCTGAATATAGTTCCAAAACATCAATGTATGGTTTCCAGAGCTTGACGATTTCGAACAATATAGTCTTCGGGAAATTAACGTTTATTAATTACTTAATAACTCCAAGATATTGCATTGAGAGACTGTTGCCAAGACATTTGAGCGTTTTGGCGTTCCTTCGGACATTCAATGGCGATGTTCATTAAGGAGAGTGCTTCAATCGACTGAACTACAAGATACGTAATAGCGAGCTTAGAGGATCTACTCGTGATAGAATTCTGAGTTGAAACGTTGGAGGCAGAACTGGCGCAATTATCTTATGCATTCCTCGAGCTGAATTTCTTTTTACTTTGTCACAATTGCGTTGTATTTCACCCCTTTTACATGGTCTGGTGTATGTTCACAATTTAAGCATTGTTTACATTTAAATATAATTTGATTTTCTCGAACTGATTCAGTGATTGTACGCACTCATCGGTGATTCTATACAATCACAGATTATTTATATGCATCAATGATTGTATGCGTTGGAGTTCTGGGAGAATAAACTAGTATAATTTCAAGGTTTCACCGTGGCTTTGTTCGAGACCTTCCGGTCGATAATTCTGCCGAATTGCTTCCGTCATTATTGTCGCGCAGAGGACGAATTTAGTTTAGTCGTCGCAAATACTCTTTGAGACCGTGTCGCTCGAGCACATGCATCTAAATTATTTTCCGTTTCTTAAATACAGTCAGTGTAACAAGTATTCGAACCAATTCAAAATGAAACTTCATATATTCATTTTATTAATAAATTTTAGGGGAAGAAATAATTAACTAACAAATTAAAGTTTATGATTTGTAACGTTGACCTCGTATTTCTTTTCCTATTAATTTTATTTTAAATTAATTCGCGACTAAAGTTTTGTTTTCAGGGTTTTACATGAGTCTCATCCCTTAAGCATGATGAAAAATAAAATTAGGCACCGTTGTTCTAGACTGTCATCTAAAATTTCTAACTGTTCTTCGACAGAGAGAGAGAGAGAGAGAGAGAGAGAGAGAGAGAGAGAGAGAGAGA